TTCATCACCAGCGTCAATTATTGCGGCAATTGGCCAGCTTAAGAAGGGGGCAGAGATAATGATGCTCTCGGCTGAGCTAATGCGCGATCGGCTCGCCAGCCTTGAGAGGGCTAATGAGGCAGCAACAAAGCGTAGGCAGCGTAAGAAAAAGCGGATACAGAAGCGAGGAGTACTTACAAAGGGAGCTGGAGAGGATCTACTCGCTCAGCGCGAGGCTGATCAGCAGATTGCTCATGAAGAGCGTCAGAGAGGAGAGCGATCAGGTGTTAGCCGCCAGGCTTTGGCGCGCTGTAGTAGGTGCAGAGAGACTGGCCATAACTCGCGTACGTGCAAGAAAGATACTCTAGGTACTGCTTAATCTATTATGTTAATATGTAGTAAAACAACTATATTGTGGTGGAACTACAGGCTTATAGAGGTGCGCAGGTTTGGTGGGGTGCGGCGCTCGCTTGCCTGCGGCGCTCGCTTGCCACATACGTTATGCACAAAACAGTTGAAGTTTACGCACGTCTCAAAGATAGCATGTGTAATTTTATAAGACTAAACGCATCATCTAAAGATATGTTGAAGTATCCTTATCCACGCGTGACCCTTGGTGTTGAACAAAAAGGTGCATAGATAAAAGTATCCTGTTGATCCTTCTCAGCAACGCATAACACTCATATTCCCCAAAGCGTGCTTAGTAGTCATCGCCACGCGATACAACTTCCTTGCAATTCGGGCGCAGCAAGACAGTCTGTACAGAGAAGATATGTTAGACCCATTGCAAAATAAATAAAATAAAAAAGGAGGGGGGGGGAAGGGGACGCGTTCAATCCTCCCACTTACATGTTCAAACTGCGCAACATACGACCCAGGGACATCGACGAGCGGCGCATACGCATCGACAATGCCGCTATTGACCAGCGAGCGCATGCCTAAATGGTAACTCTTCACGCCCGGGATACGTTCGAGCTGGCGGCGCGCAAACACGAGGGTCCCGAAGTTCTGGTCGATAGTCCTGAGCAGCGCATGCGCCGATGCATGATGCAGGCCGGCCGTGTTAGCATGCTCGTTGCGGGCGTAGCCATAAACACCAATATCATCGCGCAGGACGGCGGTGCCCGTGGTGCCAAAGGTTTCAATGGCAAATACGTCGCCTTCTTCCATGCGCTGCGTAGTTTTCGTTTTGACAAAAGGGACTTGCTTGGAGCCGTGGATGCGGTAGCGTAGAATGTTGTGGCCGGTGATGTTGCGCACGGCTTTGATGGGCAGCGTTTTGCCGGCTAGAGTTATCTCGTGGCTTTCCATTACTTCTTGGATCGATGCGCTGATGTGGTCGATGCGCGCGTCTATGCCTGCTTCCTAGGGTGGAGGGTTAGGTCGTGTTATCTGGTGTGTGAGTGGATGTATTTTTGTGGGTGTGTACGCACCTTAAGTCCCGTGTTGGTAGCGGCTTTCACGGCCGCGAGCAGGTTGTCGTAGACGGGGTTCGCGGCAATGGTAAATGCACTGTCGACGATTCTGCCGTTGACGTGGACTCCAAAATCCACTTTGAGCACGTCGTCGTGCTGGAGAAAGACTTCTTTTGCACCGGCATTGGGCGTCCAGTGCGCGCCGATGTGGTTCAGGCAGAGGCCTGTTGGAAAGGCAAGCCCGGCTTTGAGACTGTCGCCAGGCGAGAGGCCATGGTGTCCAGTGAGTGCACGAACGCTTTCGTCTATCTCTTCTGCGAGATAAGTCATGGACACGCCGGGTTTGGCGAGCTTCTGCGCATAGTGCCGGACTTGGCGGTGGATTTCAGCTGCCTTACGGTAGTCGGAGAGGAATTCATCATCCATGTTACTCAGGGCGGCTTGGTGTCGGACTTCTTCAGCTGTGGTGCGCTGGAGATTGTCGTTTTTGGCGGGATACTCGACAATCTGGCCTTCGGGGTATGGACGGCCATCGAACAGCTGTGTTAGAGGAACTCTTGGCGGGAACGACTGTTGCGTAGCCGGGCCTTTCTTGTTCTTCTTCTTGTTGCGCTTTCTCTTCTTCTTGGCGCCTATACACGTTAATAACCACGCTGCATGTCGGAAGGAGATTGGCTCACCATCAGTAGTCTTCACGTCAGCTCCAACGTTCTCCTCATCATCATCATCGTCGTCGTCGTCATCCCCGTTTTCTCCCTGCCCTTCGAGCATGCCTTGAAGAAGGCCGCTCGCAACGGCTGACTTGGGTGGGTTGACAACGGCAATTGCGGCATGTTCTGGCGACCCTATGAATGGTAAGAAGAATGTCCAAGTATCACGAGTCCTGCTGTGAACGTACCATTGGGACCTCGACGATGATCTTCTGGAGATTTTGATCCCATGGTTGGTGGAGGGGAGTATTCATCAAATCTCCCGAGTGTTGTGGATGTAGAGTGTCGGGGAGAGAGGGAGGCAGGAAGAACAGATGGAAGAGTAGGCAGCACATCACACTAAGTACTACTAGCTGGAGCGGGGTTGGTGTGGCGCTTAACCGGTTACATATCATGTCGTTTCAGGGCGGCTGCTGCATTACAATCTTGAGTCTCCTACGGAAAAATACCACTATATTTTTGATGGAATAAGCGAAATACTTGAGAGTTTTTTTTTGAACTTTTTTTTTTCCATTGATTGAAAGGCTCTTAGCAAAGCCTAGGTACAACTCAGTCATTTTCGAAATGAGTAGAAATGCCTTGACAGCGAGGGCCTCATACAACAGAATGCGAAACCAGTATCATCGTACGATTAATGTCAGATATTCAAAACGTCCCTCTGGATCGTATAACTTTCGAAAATCTGGCCGGGACTCTGTTGAGAGCCATCAAAGTTGCTGGCCTAGTTTTGGCAAAGAACATATCGAGATACAATGCGCATACTTACACACTCTTAAGAATGACTGCAACTTTGGCTACACTGTAATTTAGCAGTCGACCACCTACTATCGAAAGCGTATCACATGCATCGCATTGCATCAAGCAGGGTTTGCTAGCTGTTTGGCAGAGCAGATGTCAGATACTACCTTGCCAGCACGGTATGTTATTTTGGGCCCGCATAGTATGCCTCTTGTTCATATCGACGGCAACCCCGATGAAGAAGGTACTCTATGCTTTTCACAGTTTACCAAGCGGTATGTCATTCTAATATTAAGCATTCACAAGGAGTTCAGAAGTGCCCACGGTGCTTTACGACCATGTCAGATACCGCTCGCAAGGTATGCAAGGACTTGTAATCAGAGAACGGCGGCACTGGAGGCCTTTTAGCTTCGCGCGTCGATTTTCCACGTGAAAGATCCAGAGACTCTGGTATGCAAGGCGGGACGGCCGAGATGAGTTTTCTGTACCGCCAAGAGGTCGCACTTGTCGCGTGCCTTTTCACAAAAACGCCACCAAAACCGTTGTCACTGCTACCCACCAACTCGTGGCACTACCACTATCCTCACCACGTCATTGCCAAGGAAAATACCGTATCTGCATGCCGCATTCCTTGTACCTGATAGGAGCGGAGGGCTCAGTCATGCTCGAGGGCAGCGTGTCAATAGATATGCGGGCAGTGCAATCACTTATTCTTCTCAGGCCTCCCATCAACCCCTGCGTGTCACTAGGCTATCAAGATGCGCAAGGACCCAAAGATAGACAACTCGGTTCCGCTAATTGTCTAGACCTCCCGCGAGATTTGCTGCCCTTCATTGCGATCGCATCGTGATTGGGTAAAAGGAACAGGCCCTGCAACTGGCGCAAGGCTGCATCGATCGCTTAGGGGGAACGAGATGTGACTCTGACCTTTTCGTGACCGGTGAACCGCCCGTCCTGGACGATGCCGTTCTTTTTTCTGCTTAAGATGAGGTCGTTGCCCTTGTATCTGAAGAGCAAGCCCTACTAGACCTTGTAATATCTAATTCTCGCGATTCGCGACCCACGATCGTTCTTTCGACCCACACGACAAGATGGCTGCTCGATATGCCTTCATGGCTATCGCGAGCGGCGCTGTTGCGAGCGCACAGCCTTACTCTGACGAGTTTTACACCACAACCACTCGTTCTACATCTGCCTTCTGGACTTACACGGCCCGCTACGAGGAAGCAGCCACGGAGAGCCCATACACGTACTATGACGGCAGTGTCATCACTGACACCTACACGGTATACCGCACCATCAAAGACGATGTAACACCCACCGCTTCGCCCTATTCTACCTCTACAGGTTCGGGTTTCGATGATCTCCAAGTCATAGCCGAATACTACACTGCTGGTGCTATACCCGATTCTGATCTCATACCCGAAACCACGGATCTTTTTGGTTCTTCCGCATCAACGAAAAGCACGACCACAAGCATCGAATTTATCATGCCAGTCACAATGACCGCGCCTTCTTCTTGTCCCACTCCATGTATGTATTGATCATCCTTTTGCGCAGGATGAACATGATTGGCTGACGCAGATGATAGTTACCGTGACCACCACTGCTGCTGTTACAGTTCCTCCCGAAGTAACTGCGCAGGTAACTCCAACGTCAGTCAAGACAGATACGAGCAGTGTCACGGGCGACTACTACATTCACATGTACGAGACCTGGTATCTCTCCGCTGGTGCTGCACCATTTACTTCGACTACCAACTACTACTACGAATACTACATCGCCGAATGTAGCACTCCGCCCATGAGTTACGCGTATCCAACTGGCACAACCTCCGGTTCGGACGACAATGACTCAAGCTCCAGCTCTTGGTACAATGGTTGCGATTACTATTACTGCACGCCATTTGCAACATATGTCATCGTCGTGGCGAGTGTCATCCCCGGTCTCTTTCTTCTTGGCTTCATCGAGTCTTGGTTCTGGTTCCGCCGCCTCATGATGGGCAAAAGCGCCATGCGATTTGGCACTGTATGCTGGGTGCTCATCTCACTCTGGATCCTTTGCTTTACACGCATGCAGGATCGCCGCAGCAGAGAAGACCAGAAGCTATTGGCTGAGAAGTGGAAAAATATGGGTAGTGGAGCAGCGTTCAAAGCATGGTGGAAGTGGGGATTCCGTCACAGGTACCCGGAGGAATTGCTGGGCCAGTACTGCAAAACTACCGTGGGCATTGTACCTCCAGACCAGCCGCTCCACCCAGCCATGGCTCAGACACCTGGTGGTTTTCCGCCTGGCGCTCCTGCTGCCCCTGGTCAAGTGTACTACTACGGCCCCCCACCTCCTGGATGGGTGCAAGCACCAAACGGTGGCTTCATGCCGCCCCAAGGCTACATGTACCCACAGACTCAGCAGGGCGGCTCCCATGGCGATGCTATGAAAGACGGTGGCTTAGTCTCTCATTCGCCTGTCTCGGCAATCAGTGAACCAACCCAGCCACAACCCATACACTCCGCTCAGCAAGGCACAAACACGCCCACGCCTCACGGCGCACCACCCAACGTTGGTCCTGTGTCGGCTCCTCCTAGCCCGCCACCCCAAGGCTCTCTGACCACCACTCCGCCTCCTCCCGCTGCAACCCAAGCACCCCAACTACCACCTGTCAACGTGAGCGAGGCGCCAGCCGAAGGCGTGACGGACACCCCTCAACCCGGTGCCGCGCCGAAGAACGGTCCTCAAAATAGAGATTTGTACGGGTAGAGCTTATTAGTCTCAACCTGCGTAATGTGTAATGATGAATACGGTTTTGCGAAGCTTATACAGCTAAGAAAGAGGGGGTAATGGCTCGGTGTGGCTTCTTTGATCATCGTTTAGCATACAGATACCCAATTCTGATGGCTGCATTTGTATACCCCCTAATTCCTGCGAATAATAGAAAAGATAGATGCATGGTATTGCTTTGTTTAATCCCTAATGTATGTCCAGTTACCTCACAGTTTGTGCGTGTATCTGATCAAGGCATAATTGCTACAACCGCAGTATTGCCAAATTTGAGGTTGAATGCTTTCTTGTACTAGCTAAGAAGTCTAGGAGATGATAGAAATACAGATAAGTGAAATGAAATAACGCTACTCATTATGCAAGCAGAAAGAAGAAGAAGAAGGAAAGAGAGAAGAAAACGAGACAATCTGTCGTAACATGCAGTTTGTAAAAAAAAAAACCCTTCAACCAAATACCAACGCCCTAACCTCAATGCTCTCCCTTCCCACAGCGCCTTCAGGTGTCCTGGGATCCACAAAGGCAGAATGCGGCACGCGGCCCCACTGCCCAACCGTCTCATCGCTATCAAAGCACTTGAGCAGCAAGCGCTCTTCATTCGTCATGCCGGACCAGTAATACCACTTTTGGGCGGGGTGGAACGCAACCGCGGCCGTCTGGCCATTTCGATCGGGATACCTGTGCTCAACGGGTACCAGATCGGCGTCTCTGACCGTCTGGCTATCTGCGACTGCGAGCGGGCTGCCCATGACGGGCCCGTTGAGCGGGCGCCACACATTGATGATGCGGTAGCGCCCTTGCAGCAGCGTGTCTGCTTCGTCGGGCAAATGCAGCTTTACGCGCTCGGCGGCGGAAAACGGCGTCTGGTCAATGTGCACGCGCTGCACGGGGTTGCGGTTGCCCGTGGGTCTGCGGATGGTGTGGTCGAAGAGGAGGACGCGCTGTGCGCCTGGCACGTTCTTGAGGAGTAGCTCTTCGACTTCTGGGTAGTACACTCGTTTTATGGCGTCATCGTCGGCGAAGTCGTCGCGGCTCAGCCGACTTTTAACGTTCTGGTAGGTGTCGAAGGCGTTGGTGTCCAGGGTGAAGTTTTGCTCTTTGCCTCGCAGGTCTTGGATTTGGACTTCGGTCCAGTTGTCGCCCCAGTTTCGCTGTGGAACACCCGGGAGTGGCTCGACGTAGTTGTGGGGTGGTGAGCCGTCTTCGGGGGCTGTGTAGAATGATAGCTTTGCTGTCACGGGACCTCGTGGGATTGGTAGACCTTGGAAGTTTACATCGGACGGGGTTGCGGCATTCTGGGTAGGTTGAGGAGTTGAGAGTTGGTGCGCAGGTGTCGGTAGCGCTGCGGCGGTCGTCATTTTGTTTGTATTGTTGGATGGTTTCTTGATATCAAGGGTATGGGTTGTAGTTCGGTCTTGTTCCGCTGTATCAAGCAAGTGGTTGCTTGCTGTTGAATGGTTCAGATGCTGAGTACTTTGAACTGGAAATCTGATCAATGAAGGCAACTGGCGCTTTTATACAAGGCTATATGGTTATAAATGCTTTAAGCGCCGACCATAAAGGCGTCTTGCATCCGCCCATGCTTCCCCTCATTCGGCATTTCTGTGGCGATGATGCCATGGCACTATTCCCGAGAGGTTCCCGAGGGGTTTTACTAATTCCGCTTTCCAATCACAGCTGAGCTGGCTGACTAAAAGCCCTATTGCGTGATGGACGGGCAGTTTTAACAATAAGCATCTCTTCTACAGGACTTCCAAATGTTGCTTTGTAAGATTTCAGTGTCATTCTTGCGGGGTGGGAAGACGAACACGGCATGGTCTGATATGGCCTATGACGTCATTCATTCGCTGCGATTCTCAACACCACGCCTTTGGATCATGATACTGCAGAAAAGAGATGGGCAACTGGATATCAGTTAAAGACTTTCTGGGTAGCCTTATTCTATCAATGTACTGCTCGAAAGCTAAGAAATGACTAACACGGAAGTCTGGTACGGCCGTGTGCATGCATCCAGCCCCATGTGTCTGTCGAGGCAGCGGAAACGGGGCATCTTTACACTCTGCACTTCCTTTGAAGCGAGAAGGAAAATCCAATTAACCCATGATCGAATAGTATGTAGTGCAGGCGCGATGCCCACACCTTACGCATTAGATCCTTCTGAGCCCCATGCGTCGTCTCAACGTCATCATGTTCGCGTGCCCACTGTGACATCGTTCATCCACCTTTAAATCACTTAAAGGCAGCATCAACTATAACCACATCTCAACATGCTCCGACTCTTTTCACGAACGCTTCCAACAGCTACCAAATCAATTGCTCCATTCTCGTGTACAAAACAATTCATTCCAAGGACCTCATACCAAATTGTCAGGAATATGGGAAAGGCTAGCAACGAGGACCTAAAGGGCTCCAAGCTCTTCGACGTCTCACACGTCACGGCTCTCGTTACTGGAGGCGGAACCGGAATCGGTTTGATGATTACACAGGCGCTGGTTGCCAACGGTGCAAAGGTCTACATTACATCAAGGCGCGATGAGGTACTGAAGAAGTCGGGTGAGCTGTACGACAGCGGCCCAGGCCAGATCATCCCTATTCAGGCCGACGTCAGGTAAGCTCTTAGCTGTTTGATGAGTGGATTGATGAGTTGACTCTGCTGCAGCGACAAGGACGATGTAAAGCGTCTTTACGACGAAATGTGCCAAAAGGAGCCCAAGGGCATCCAACTGCTCGTCAACAACGCTGGAATTGCGCGCGATGACAACACCAAGTTCTCTTCAAACGGACAGCCCAACATGGAAGACCCACAAGCCATCTCCGATCACTTCCTCAAGTCGCAGCCTGAGCAGTGGGCCGACACAATGAAGACCAACGTCGGCAGCATTTACTGGATGAGCATGACTTTCCTACCACTGCTTGCCAAGGGTGGCAACGTCACACCGGGGTACAGCTCACAAGTTATCAATGTCAGCAGTATCTCGGGCTACATGAAGGGTAGCAGCAATGGCCAATTTGCGTACTCTTCAAGTAAGGCAGCAGCCACGCACTTGAGCCGTATGCTAGCAACGACTTTCATGGGCACCAAGGTGCGCGTCAATACCATTGCGCCTGGTGTTTTCCCCAGCGAGGTAAGCATGAGCACCTTGTCTCATATATCATCGTTTCTTCTTCTCTGCTGCAAACACCCAGACTAACACTACACACTAGATGACAACAGGCTCGTCTGATGAAGACAACAAGAGCCGCATCGAGTCTGGCATGTCGAATCCTGCTGGCCGCCCTGGCGCCGATACCGATATGGCTGCGACTGTACTCATGCTGGCTGGACCAGGTGGCGTCTTTTACAATGAGCAGGTCTTGTATCCTGATGGTGGAAGCACTCTTCAGCAGCCTGCTGCGCGGGCTTAATCGCTTCATAAGCAATCTAGCGAGTGTAGGTCGATATAATGAACTTAACAAATCTATTCCAATACAACTCTTGCATCATGTTATATGAAACCCAATCTGTTGTATTGTTACCACTTAAACATCTTCTCAATATTTTCTCTCATTGTCTGTCTCCAACACCGTATCCATGGGTAGCTCCGAGTCGCCGAACCGCTCCGAACCAACCCCACCACAGGCGCAAAATCTCTTCCACGCTATACCACCTCTTTGCAAAAACCTCCAAATGCATGACTCTTTTCTTGTTTCTTTTTTCAGTGCATTCCACGATTCAAGGTCATGAATGGTTACACTGTAATTTCCGGGCTTCCCCATCAAACAGGCCTAATGGCCCAATGGCAAGGCGCTTGACTACGATTGACATCGACATCAAGAGATTCCAGGTTGTAAGTTACTCACCTAGCTTGATCCCTGTCCCCTTCGAATCAGAGTGCTAACGGTACGGAATAGCGACCCCTGGTTAGGTCATGACAACTACATCCTCTTTTTTTTCCTCCTCTTTTTTTTGTTCTCATTTCCATCTTGTCTTCTCACTACGAGTGACGTTGAACAAGCGTGTATGCTATTAATGCCGGATCTGTATATTTGTTTTGCTGTTGATGCAGACTTGACCTTTTTGTTATTTTGTTTTCTTGCTTCCTGAACTGGGGATGTTACGAGGCTTGCTGGCAGTGCAGGTAATGCTGCAGAGAGGAAAAAGGAACTCTGACGTGGGAAGGGAAAAGGAAAGTCGATAGCATAGGGACCCCCACGAGGCTGCTATTTCACATCTATACGTGAGGTACTTTTTCCCCTGTATAATGACAACTGTCACGCCTGCGCCAACATGTCATGCGGCGAAATGAATCATGTGTTGTAGGTGATGACTCGATTATGTACCACGTTTTCATATGAGGGTAAAAAAAACAAAGGGGTGTAATACTAGGATTGCAAGATGTAGAATGGTGGCATCATAGTGCCGTCGTCAAGAGTACGGGTTTTGGTAAACATACAGACTATAGTGTTCCCCCCACGTGACATGAGCGCTAATGCACACTGCGATAAGCGCGCTCCCTGATAACAGGTCACGTGGATACCCGCCCAGCTCAGCTCACGCCAGGCTCCAGGGCTTGCACACAGGGCGGGGAGTGTGCGTGTGTTTGGCGCTGGCACCAAGTCGGCGCATTTTGTTTTGAAATTACAGCCATAATACACGTACTTATTGGACAGCCAACGACTCGGCGTCTCTTTTTTGTTCCCTTCCAAGCAGCCATGCCACCGCCGGCAGCCAATGGGTCGCAGCGCCTCAAGTCCAAGACGGGCTGCCTCACGTGTCGGGCGCGCCGCAAGAAATGTGGTGAAGAGCAGCCACATTGCGTTGCATGCCGCCGGAATTATCTCATCTGCACTTGGCCGTCCACCGTCCAGCATGATTCCTCATCGGCATCCTCGTCGTCAGCAGACGCGGTGCAGCAGCATCGGCCGCCACCCCAGAAACAGCAGCCCACCGCACTCGTGGCTGTGGGTCCAGCCAAAGCACATGGATCAGACATACACCCACGGACCGCTATTACCGGCACCAAACAAGTGCGTTGCTGGCCTCCGTACGGTAGCAGTGGTGCTAGTGTATGCCCAGCGTTACCGAATAGCACCATGCTTGGGCTCCACAAAGAGAGCGAAAAGCACATCTTCGACCACTACCTGAACGTAACAGCGACCGAGATCGCCGGCCGCATATTACCTCTCAATCCGTTTGTGAGCCACCTGGTGCCTGTGGCGTACCAGGATACGCGCGTGGTCGCGTGTCTTCTGGCACTGAGTGGAGCTCATCTGTCCACGTACAAGGATGGCCGATTCGAGCATGATGCACGCTCGTACTACGCCGTGACGCTGCGCGCCGTCAAGCACGGGCTGCTTGCCTGGAAGGAAGCGAGCACGCAGGATCTCATCAGCCTCTTCATCGTCATATTGTCGCTTTGCTGGTTCGAGGTGCGTGTTGCTCCGCTTCTGAAACCTGCTGATGATTGCATTACTCAGGACAACGTAACGCTAACGATTGGTGTCACGAGCGCAGAGCCTGATCAGCGAGCTAAACGGAAATGTGTTTTATCATCTCCGGGCCAGTCGTACGGTGCTACTCGAGTTGAGGGCCCGAAACAGCCGCGAGCTGCATGCATCCTTGTTGGACCTGCTCACCGAGGTCTACGCCTTCTTGGCCATCAGTGCAAACATCACTATCGGCACGGATTTTCCGGTTAGCCGCTACGTTCCCTACGATCCGTTTCTGGCTCCTGAGGCGCTCCTGTCTCTCAACTGGGGAAATGACATCCATGGCGTTCTGTTTGGGTCCTCGCATGAGCTGTTCGGTCTCATCGTGCTGATAACAGAGTCGGCGCGGTACCACATGCGTAACCATGACCCCGAGCGAAAAGCTGCGGAGAAAAGCGAGTATGAAAGACGAATCCTGGCGTGGGAGCACGTTCCCTCAGCATCAAGCAAAGAAGATGCCACGGAGCGGATAGCAGGTCAAATCAACCAGCAAGTCGTGCTTATCTTTCTGTACACCACCTTTCACGATTCCGTGAGGCCTTCTGCTGCTCTTATGGAAAAGATCGATGGTATACTGGACCGCGTATTGGAACTCTCGTTCCATTTGAATCCCACGTCGCGCATCCACACTACCATGACGTGGGCTGCGCGCGTTGCAGGCTCAGTAAGTCTCTAAATAGTCGATGTGGTAGGCGCGTACTCACAAACTCCCTTCCTGTAGGTGTGCCGAAAGAAAAACCATCGTGCCATGATGATGAGCCAAATGAAAGTTGGGCCCTCCAACAAGCCCAGAGCAAGGCGCACAGAGTCTTTCCTGGGCTATCTGTGGGCCGAGATGGATAAAGATGAATCCGTGTACGGCCCTCATGGCATAGAATTCATCATGCGAAGCCGGAATACCAATCTCGGCTGTGCTTGAGTCCTGTCTCGGTATACTTGAAACTCTCCGGGTCTATCGGAAAACCAGGCTGTTCCTTCTGCTAAAAGCTGTCAAACATGCAGATACACGCATGTTGGCGGAAAACAGCTGTAGAACCCCTTGCAGCTAGGACGCCACTGCACCTCACTACATCCAGGATATTAATTTGGAATCACAGAGAACTTTCTCCAAAGCTCGAGGAATAGCGGGGTTTACACACAGCTTCGTCTTGCTGTTCGAGCTTTACGGAGTTGCTCCAGACCTTGGCCATGTGACATTTGCTGACCTTCCGAACGGTGGGGAAAAGGCATCGCAGGCAGTGCAATGGGGAGAGAGGAGCGAAAAAAAAGACGAGACGTGGACTAGCCCACAAAGCGGAAGGCAAGGGGGCTTTTAAAAGTAAGGAGAGAGCGGATGCGGAACAAGTGAGAGCCGAGCGCAAGGCGACAGTTACTTTCAACACACTGCCGCACGGTACACCACTTCCAATCTTTGGAGAACGCAGTCGAGACATGATAATTAGGCGAACAGCTATCCAAGGCCCAGCCAGGTTAATACACTTCATCCAAGCCCTTTCTCTCAGCCTCTTTCATCTTGTCAATTTCCGCCGAGTCCAATTTCTTTTCTGGATCAGCCTGTTCACCATTTGCCTCTCTCTCTTCTTCGCTCTTTTCCACAATCATGTTGCCTTTGAGCGCTTCCTTCAAAATGGGCTCTTCCCGTTTCACTTTGGCCAGTGCAGCATCATCGCTCGTCGCATCGCCATCGCCCAACCTGTCGGTCCTAACATCTTTTCCCATGCCAGACTCTTCCAGCCAGCCTTGTTCCGTCTGTTTTCGCTGTATTTTGCGGTCTTTGGATTGTTTGCGCTGCGTGGAACTGGCTCGCAGAAACTTGCGATGCCCCGTGCTGTGGTGAAGATGCTGCATGCCAGGAAAGTAGTCGGAATCGTCAGAGAAACCTTCTCCGGCTTGAGTGGGTTGCAAGTGGCGTAAAACAGCGGCGGTTCGTGGCTGTGCGTGATTGCTTGGCCGTGACAGAGTTGGAGCTGCATCCCCATCATCGCTACTTGAAGCGTCGTTTGAAGCATCGTTTGGCGATGCAGGCGTTGGTGGCATTGCGGGGATAGGAGCACCCTTAGCGTTCTGCTTCCGCAACAGCTTTGCCGGAGACGGTTCGTTGATAACAGGAGCGTGATCGCCCTCCTGTGCTACAACCGGATGGTCCTCAAGTTCGCTCTCTACTGGCTCCATGTGTTGTGCGGCAGGCGCAGACGCCTGCTGTGAATTTGACCCGAGGTACTCCATGGTGTTCTTCCGCATTGGGCGACGAGGATAATTGATCTTGTCATGGTTACATCCATTTACACACCCGCCCCAGCGACGAATGGGTACAGTGGGAGAGGCGTTTGATCCGACTTGATTTAGACCAGTCAGTGGTGTTGCTCGGCCTGATGCGGCGGTGGTAGCGCTCTTTGGTTGCTCCTCTTTTTCTTTGGCAGCCCGGCGCTTGAGTTCGGACCATGTTCGCAGCTCGTTCTGGAGGATGTATCTCCCGTTGTTCTCACTTCTCTTCATGATGATGAATTCGCAGTGGTTAACGTTTCGAAGGTCCTCAAAGTACTCGACCGACCAGTGGTACCTCGAGCACGTCAGCACGGTGTCCCTGTATACCAGGGAGATGCAGCACTCACCATTTCATGAGAAAGACCCTCGACATGAGTCCATGCGTGACGAGCACACAGACGCTGGGAAAGTTGTCGTCTCCAAACGATCTCCACAGACTCTCGTTGAAGCCACTCACGCGATCATAGGCATCCGCTGCACTCTCGCCGTCAGGTATGCGGTAGAAGAAGTGGCCATAGTCGGCCCTCTCCTGCCACATGCGCTCCATTTCGGCAGAGCATGGCTGGAAGTTGCCGAAATCCTGCTCCCGTATCCGGGGCTCCTCGAAGACGGTGATCTTGTTGCGGGGAAAGGGCGAGGGCGTGGGGTCGTCCGACGTCAGCGTGCGCAGGATGCCCTCTGTCGTCTCGCGTGTCCGGCGGTAGGGCGAGGTATAGAACTGGAGGGTATCGTCGGGCTTGAGCAGCGAGCGGAGTTGGCGCCCAGCCTCTTCTGCCTGGGTCCAGCCATGCTGGGTCAGCTTTACCCGGTGATCGGGAATAAACTGGTGGATGTCGCGGTTCTTGTTTCCCTCGGACTGCGCATGGCGGATCAGAATAATCATCTGCGAAGACGTCAGCCATGATGCCCTGGGGATGTGCATGGATTGGTGATAAGTGGACCTACGCGGGGTTTCCCCATGGTGGTGAAGTGGGATGTCTGGAAATGGCTACTACGGGACTTTGGCGGGCGATGGGCAGCAGTGGAGAGACGGCACGTCTGCAGGGTCGGGGAAACAACAGGACAGGCACAGCTGGCGCAGGAAAAGGACAAAGTTTGTGTGTTTCATGTGGTGGTGCCATGCCCAAGCCTGGCGGCGGCGGCATGCTCGTCTATTAGCGCGCCGTAGTCAGGCACCTGCTGCAAAACCCTAGCGCGCGTCATCTTCTTGGACGTCCATCGCATCACGCCTTCTTCTCGACGCGCCTCCGCACAACCCCTCCACCTTGCATCCCGCCAATTGCCCGTCTGCCGCATTCCAGTCGCCTCGACATACTCGCCACGTGCCGCCGGCTTCTGCGCGCTGAACATTCGTCGGCCCCTTCAGCCGGCGCCTCACGTCTCGCCGCACTGCCGCCTGCGCGAGGCAGACTGGGCTCTCATTGCTGCATACACACAGCCTGCAGCAACCATGTCAGAACCCATCCCCGAGGCAATACCCACATCTGCCGACCCGCGCTCAAAGCGACCGGTCAAGAAGCGCGCTCTTACGCCTCGCACAGAGCAAGCCTCGCAGGTCGAAGCCCTCTTCGCAAAGCCCGACCGCGAGATTCACATCCCAGGCTCCGGCCCAGTCGCCAAGACCTCGTCCCTGCCCCCGGAAATCGTCGCAAATGTGCAGGGCTCAAGCGCGGGCGCGGGCAGTGGAGAGTTTCACGTCTACAAGGCGAGCCGGCGGCGCGAGTATGAGCGACTGAGGGCCATGGACGAGGAGGTGAAGAAGGAAGAGGAGGAGCGCGAGTTTGCCAAGCGGAAAGAAGAGCTGGAGAAGAAGGACAGGGAAAAAACCGAAAAGAACAGGCTAAAGAGGGAAAAGGCCAGACAAAGGAAAGAAAAGGCAAAAAAGGGCGGCAGAGGCGGAGAGGGGGGCGCGGGGGAAGGTGGCAATGCGGAGGACAGCAAAGCAGGCCATGACTCCGAGCAATCAAAGAAGAAACTCGTTCCGAATGCAAACGTGCCCAATTCTGGTACCGGGGAAGATGCAGACACGCGTAATAGTGAGGCTGAGGTCAAAAATGCCGAAGAAATTGGATTGGTCATTGAAGACGACGACTGAGCTGCATACACTGGCCCTCCTTACATGGGCAGCCCTAATCTTAATCGAACAACAATTCATGAACACCTCATCGAAGACACGTGCGCGCTAAAAGAGCCCAAGGTGTGGCAATGGGAACCACTCAGCATCTCGACGCTGACACGCCTTTACACGTTTAGCCTTGCGAGTTGCTAACTCCCCACCGCACCCCCGTGGCAACCGCAGACCACTACATGTACACGGAGCTGCTTCCTAAAACGCCCAGCCTGGACGATTAGACATGCAAAACTGCCATCTCCGCCGTCTGCCGCCAGGGTCCAGCCTACGTCGCAGCTTGTTATTGTGCGCTGAATTCACTCCCACTATATTCGCCTTGCGTTCACTCAATTGTTCTGCATACATACCCTTTGACAAAACCTCGCCGTCTACCCTTTATACGAGGGGCCTTGCACACTGCCAGCGATTTTGGATGCTACGTCTAATTTGTCCGCGCCGGGTGGCGACCAAAAATAACAAAGCCGATCTCTTACCTTTTCCTAAGCTTATTTCTCTTGGCGCAGTCTTGAGGCTATGTCTGCCAAGGACACCGCCGGTAGACCTCCGCATCCTCCGCACCTTTTCTGACATCTTCTACCTGAAACACTGGCAACGGGTACTACTCAAGCCGCTGACGGTCACCCGAGGCTCGAGACACCTTTACAATGATGCAATGCATAGGGCATAACTTATGCTTAATCTCAACACAAATGCTATTTCAAATACAGACATCTTGTATAACAGGGTTTTATTTTTGAACTGTTGGCAAAGTCCCCCGTCGGGTGAGATTGTGCAAGCTCCACATGAAGGACTCATATTTCCAAAGCCCAAGTCGAATTTGACCACGAAGCCGGCACTACCGCACAGCACGCCATTGTGCGCGTGAATCAGAGCGTGAATCAGGGCGTGTGATTCGGCCTTACTGTGGCGCTTTGTGACAACAGGTCACTGCCCCGAGCGGATATGACATCAACTAAAAGCCTAAATTCCAACTTCTAAACGCAGTGGCGGCATTCTCATTTGCCAGTTTCCAGGGCAAGTTTTTTTACCTTATAGCTGAGCCCCAACCTAATATGTCTAGGAACAAGTCACAACAAGTGATGGCTTAACATCTTGGCACCAAAGCTCCGCCTTGGATCGGTCTTGGAACTACATCACCAGAAATGGAGTACAATCAATCGCACCCTTCTTGGCAGAGCCAAGCTGTCACATCTACCATGTATGTCCCTACTACACAGCCCAAGCAGTGAGGGGAAGGCGCGGGGCAGGAAACTCTATGTCGCCGTCGGTGGCTTGCCGGTACGCGTACCTGCGGCATCCCAACTTGAAGCTTTTCTTTTCTTGGTGACGGAGATGGTCGAGGATCAAGTATAAAAGCACATGGCTTCTGCACTTTGGAATTGATCCATCATCATCAGCAAACAACATTCCCTCTTCCAAGCAACAACCATCTATTCTACCAGCTATTACTTATTGAGTTTTCCATCTTTCTTTCAGCCATGAAGTTCTCACTGGTTATGCTCATGGCCGCTGGGTACGCTGCTCCCTACTCCTTCACTGTCCATCCTTCTGTTTCTTCTCGACTCTCAGCTCTGAGTGTAGTAGCTAACATGAACACAGTGCCATTGCTGCACCTTTGGCTGAGCCGGCAAACCGGGGCGTGGTTGTTAAGCGTCAAGATGTGCCTCCTCCTCCGCCTCCTGTAAATGGTGCCCCGCCTCCACCTCCTCCTGTAGATGGCGCTCCGCCTCCACCTCCTCCTGTAGGCGGTGCTCCTCCTCCACCTCCTCCTGCAGGCGGTGCTCCTCCTCCACCTCCTCCTGCAGGCGGTGCTCCTCCTCCACCTCCTCCTGCAGGTGGTGCTCCTCCTCCACCTCCTCCTGCAGGTGGTACTCCTCCTCCTCCTCCACCTGTAGGCGGTACTCCTCCTCCTCCTCCCGTAGGCGGTACTCCTCCTCCTCCTCCTCCAGTTGACGGTCAGCCACCTCCACCTGCTGGCGCACCAGCTCCGCCACCAGTTGTCCGTTCGGCGGCGAAGATTTAATCACCCGGTGAAACTTCTGGACATGGCATGATTACAGGGCACGAGCATTGCGGAACCAATCCTTAAAATTGTAACGCGCCTGGAAGGGGTCAATGTCTTTCTCCAGACAGTGTTTCTTTTTTCATCCAATCCATGAGTGTATTTTGCAACAAGGCAGAGCACGCAACTAATGGAGAAGTTGATCAAATTGCAGTGGCGTGTTGGATCAAGTACGCGGCATTGCGCAGTGGTTAAGAGAGATACGGCAGTATGCAGGAACGAGAATATGTAGCAACTAGAATCACCAGGTGTGATTCTCGATTGGCAATTTACGAATTTATGTTTCTCCTCACATCTCTCTCGCCGCATTCTTGATCGTGTTTTGTTACATACAATTCAATTGTGTGATTGAAAGTGAAATGTGTAGAGTGGGAGATAGACGGTGCTAGAGGCATATTGTGTTGAAAGGAATGAAGTCTTGGCATCCAAGTAACCCCTGAGGGTTGAAATGTCCTAGTACAAAATACCATATTGGGCATGCCTTCCATCTAAACAAGGGTCCCAGCCAACTCTATGAGAACGACACGTGAAGACGCTCTACGCAGCAGTCGAGCATCAGGAACGCTCCTATGGCCTCTCGGAAACTCGAGTTTCACCAAGCGCAAGGCATGGTAAATGACCCGCCAAATTTTGATCGACATTGCAACAGGAGAACTTCTGTAGGCGCGGCCCGGCAGAAGGCGTTGTTGTGCGCGGCAACTACAGCCTAAATGCAAGCCCCCTCCGTTCTCCTGCAGAAAAATGGCTTGGTAAATTGATTTCTATGGGTCTACAGCCCATCTACACTCGACACGCTGTGCTTCATGCACTTTAATACATGCTGATCGATGCCATTGCATCGGGACCTGTGTATGTGTCCAAGGTCGTGGATGTGACCTCAGATCTAGAGTAATATGCTGGGAATGCGGGGAAAGCCATCCTGTCTCTCCGTTTTTACCCAAGGAACCACTTGGCGTCAGTTTGAAGTGTTCTGAATAGGAGATTGTGTCCGGCCAATGAGGTTGGAGTGTTTTCTGACTTGGCTCGCGCCTAGTTTGGCGGGATGATGACAGCCCAGAGAATGGCTTTGCTGAAAGCTTATGCGTGACGAGACGAGGCGCAAGCCACTATTAAACAAACATGTAGGCCATATTCTTTCCAACGTCAATGCATCACTTATCCTGTTTTTTTTATGATACACGAAACGCTGCGTGTGGACTGCATCGGCCCATGACGCCTCTGACCTACGACAAGACATTCGGCTAAACCGCCTTGTCGCAGAACTCCGGATACATGCATTTGTGGGTTTTATATTGACACCGCAATGAGCTCTCTCCTCCGATTCCTAATGGATCGGAGCATTCTTCCTTCCGCGCTGGCCTCGGAGGTGAAGGCCAGTGGCAACTGCCGGGCGTTGAAGCGTCTAATCCAACGTCATGCCTAAAGTGTGTGTGTGGTCACGAAACGTTGTGTTCACGTTTCCATTGAACGCCACTCTCAACGGGGGTAAATGCAAAAGACATATACACGGCAACGTACCTGGCAGCAGTCTGTGATAGATTGCACGATAATTGCAGTACCCAGAAAACACGTTCCTTGCGCAACTTTTGTACGGCATCACGTCTTCGTCCCAAGGCAACTCGGTCCCAGACATCGGCAAATAAGCAATTCTCCACAGTCTGAACTTGATGAACCGAGCAATCACAGCTGGTTTACCCTTCTACAAGCGATATTGGCCTTCATCTATTCAGGCTTGTTGTAAATGGCGTCAACGCGGTGCCACTTTGCACTGACGACATGCCAGCGCAGCGAGGAGTATGTCTGTGGATACTGGTGGAGAGGAAAGCCATGGGAAGATATAAAAACACTGGATGAGAACTGTATCTCATTCACAGCAAGCTTCTACTACTCCAGTCTACTCTACACTCACTTCCTCGATCCTTCATCATGAAGTTCACAGCCGTTCTCTTCATGGCCGCTGGGTACGTCTGGTCTTTTTGCTTCCATAACTCATCTCGCTCCCATTCTCCTATTCATAGTTCCTCTCAACTAACATACACTCAGCGCCCTCGCTGCCCCTGTAGTCGAGCGCCAGGTCGGTATTCCACCCAGCCCAAGCGGTGGAGCGCCTCCCTTCCCCAGCGGAGGCTTTCCTGGTTTCCCAAGCGGCGGTTTTCCAGGTGGGCCCGCTCCTACTGGTGGTTTCCCAGGCTTTCCAGGTGGCGGTGCGCCTGGTGGTGGGTTCCCAAGTGGTGGATTCCCAGGTGGAGGTGCACCCGCGCCCACAGGCGGCTTTCCTGGCTTCCCTGGCGGTGGTGCACCTGGCGGCGGTTTCCCAAGTGGCGGCTTTCCGGGCGGTGGTGCACCCGCACCTACTGGCTTCCCAGGCTTTCCAGGTGGTGGTGCGCCTGGCGGTGGTTTCCCAGGTGGCGGTGCACCCGGTGGTGGCTTTCCAGGTGGTGCGCCGCCAGCACCTACTCCAGTCGTTGCATGAACTCGTGAGTTATTTTGTCTAGCTATGTTAATAGGAAATAAGGCTGACCTTTCAGCAGCAACAGTTGTGCCTCCTTCTTAAAAAGTGGTCCCGAACATACGATCTGATTGTTGGGTGTGTTCAGCGAGATAATGGCATGGGCTGCCGGACGGCTGCAGCCTCGCAAACATAGGACCCAGGCTCTTTGAAAGGCCATTGGCTTCTTGTCATACCTTCTATGTCACTCTTTTACCAACTCATTGTTCATGTTACGATTGTATTTAAATTAGGAACAAGTTTCTCTCACTATTGGACATAGTTTTTGTATCTCTCCATCTGTACTCATCTTGGCACCCAAAGTCTTCCATCATGTCATAATTCGTGCTGCTAAAACGATTGCAAGAATGATTGGAAGCGCTCAAGTCTTTCGCAAATAAATGTTGGGCATATTTTCACTAGCAGCACATCTCAGAATCCAGTCTGCGTTGACTATCGCTCAGGCAATGCGCGGGTTTGCAGATCACGGGTCAGGCTCGCAAAGCAATCATCTCGCTCACTTCAGCAAAAGTTTTCTCCTCACATTCCAAGCCTGTCTGACTTTAAAATCCTTGGCTCAGAGTAAAAACACTATGCAAACTCTGCGTAGGTGGCTGTACCGAGCTTCCACTGACATGTGGTTCGGTCTGCCGGGCCGAGCGGAAGCCATGGTTCCGATTATCTTACCACGGCCTCACTCCAAGCTTCGAACCTTGGCTTTTTCTTGTCTTTTTTCTTGGAAGAGGAGACACGTTCCATGGGGTTGTTTCATCCAAGCAGCCCAGACCAGATCGGCTTTTTGCCGCAACAAGGAACATCGTGGCGGCCGATTTGGTAATATACGCTCCCATGCCCTACTATAGTACTGCCGTCCATCACCTGTTCATGATCGCATTCATGCATCGATCCTGTTCTAGTCCAAGTGCTTGGTTTTCTTGATTCCTGAGATTGGGCGTGTATTCTGCAACCACGGTGTTACTCCAAGTGATCGGCATACCGACCCTGTTGTCAGTGACGCGGCCTACTGGCGCAGCACCTCGCCATATTGTGTACCAATTATCCTTTGCGATGTCGCCATCACCTGGCGAGATCGCCCATCTTCTCACCAATGATTAAAGAGTTTGTGTAAGCATAGTGTGAATGTCACAGATGAAGCGGGGTTGGCGGATATATCTCGGAAAGTGGGGCTGTGGGGCCGTCTCCAGCATGTCTTCCCAGTACATATCTGATATGCTAATGGACATTAGTCAATTGCATCCAGATCCCAGTGAGGGATTACCAGATTTGTGTTATATAATGGAGCAAGTCAGAAGGATCGTTTGAAGAAGCGGTGCAAGGGTTGCTCCGTGCTGATGTCAAGAATTGCCAAAGGCGCAGCACAGGTAGGGCAACGCCTGTATGAGTCTCAATCTTCTAAGATGATGTTGCCATGAATATGCTGAAGGGGTAAACTTAATACACGTCCCTTCTCTAGTTAGAAGTCAATCGGTGGTATTAGTGTAGGACGGAGAGGGAAAAGAAACATACACAAGTTCATTGTCGCACAAGTTTAGGTGGAAGGCGAAAAGCGTGATCTCCAGGGAATAATTTAGGCAAAAAGCCACTGCGCAGAATGATGAGCTGACTCTCTGATTACCATTTCCTCGCGATCGTTGCGTGATATGCTAAGGAAAATACATGTTGATGTTCATACTTACGTTGCTTGAGGTTGACATGTCTAAGTCCAGGCTATGCTGGTTGCGCCTATTTTCTGTCTACAAAAGTAAATCTGATAGCACCCTAATTTAGCAGCTGTAGCGAGACATGCGCCTTTGGAATGGCAAGTGACTTTCCGCTTACGACAGCCACATTTCTTTATGTGTCAAGCGCATCAACCACATTGGATCGTACCCGAGCCAGCGCACCTGATCGCTCAGCCTCGGTGCGTTCTGCTCAGCGCCTTCACGCCACCTTTCCGCCTCTCCATCTTTTGCTATGAGCTTACTACACCTAGTGACGCCACCGGTTCAATGCCAAGTATACTTACTAAGAGTAACAGCGTGTGGACGAAAATAGCCACCAGCCTTCGCTTACTTGGCCAATTGGGGGCCAGCTGACACCAGCGTGGCTATGGTTGAACATAAAGAATTCGAGTGAACGCTAACCATATTAGCACACTAGATCTGGCTGTACGAGAGGTGGGGGCTCAAAAGTTATGGTAGTGCTTGGAAATAGGAAATCTAGCCACTCATACGGCGGTGTGGCTGACCGTACTCCATACGCCCTTCACCTTGACATGCTCTTCAGCCTCCACCAAAAGTGAAACTTCACGACAACGATGGCGGTGTAAGCATTTGAATTACACAACAGAAACAAGAAATTTGTAGAGCTGAGCAGTATTGTCTCAGGCCACCAAATTTTCTGCCTGCAATTCAGGCAGTGTAGCATTGAGGCACGGTTACAGCGCAGCAGCGATCACGAGATTTCCAAGATGCCATGGCGAGACTAGAAGGGCAGAAGACGGGTATAAGAAAGAGAGGTTCTACGCCGAAGAAGAAGCATCTCACAACACATTCAAACTCATCTTACAAAACAACAACAACTTTCCTCTCATCTTCTCTCCTACCTTCGATCGTTCAACCATCTCCATTCAAGCCTCTTCAAAAACCACACCTCAATCACTCATAATGAAGACCACCATGATCATCAGCGCTGCTGCTCTCCTCTTCTCCGGCGCTTTCGCTGCCCCAGCCGTCGCTCGCTCTGATCCTGTCTACTTCACTGTCCAGCTCGCAAACGATCAGACTGGCAAGAACGCCAACGCCGACGTCGCTGTCAACACTGGCCCAGTCACCTTTGGCCGGCTCTTCGGCGCTGCTTTTGGCACTCCAGTCAAAGCCACTTCTCTGCAGGCCGTCACTCCAGGTGCCGGTGGTAACAACGTCCGCTGCGTCGTCTACAGCCCTGCCAATACTCTCTACGGCAGACCCCTCAACGCCTGGAACACCTTTATCGACCTCGACGGCGACTTCACCAAGTCCACCCCCATCGATGTAACTGACTTCACCATTTCGTGCGAGCTTTAAACGATCGAACCGGCAGATGAAACGGATAGACGATAATGGTCTGCGAGGACATTCGTTCAGATCATTATCACATTTTTTGCATAGCGTTTTGGGGTTTTGTCGTTGCTTTCTTTCTTGCGAACTTGTACATTCATTTAATGTCTAGAGATAAATCTTAGTAGCCAATATTCACTCGTTTGCGAGCTTCTACACAAGCTTGTATTTGGAATTCTTCGGTGCATTTTAGATATCTTGTGACTAACCGTTTTGAGTTCTCTAGACATACTGACAAATGAACACAAAGAATGAGTGCTTTAGTGAAGCAAACGACGGTAGAGTATGTACGAAGATATAAAATATTTACAAACGCTATTTGTGAGCCTGCCGGGTGATAGGAGCCCGTTCAACTTTGTCGATGTATTTCTTTTAGATGTGATACGCATATTCGATTCGTGAAAAAAACAGAAAATCATATTTACAAACGCAAGGTTCATATCCAAAGGCGCGTCTTGTTGAGGCATTTTCGTTGCAGATAATATGTGGACCACTGCTTGGAAGTCCAAGTCGACTTAGCCAGAGCAAACGCCTGCCTTCTGGGGCTCGCAGCCACCAGCACATCCAGTGTACATCTGACATTTGACCTTTGCGTCGGAGCAAACGTTTCTCAGGGTTGCAGTGTCTCCGTAGTTGCTGTTGATACCAGCCAACTCGTTTCCTTTGACGGCGGTAACACCCTCGATGTAGACAGTGCGCTTGCATTGCGACGAGCACTATTGAATTGATTAGCCATAATATCCCATTATCCACATGTTCTATGTAGCTACTCACGTTTCCACATGAGCGGTAAAGCTTGCCGTAGTCGTTGACGTAAAAATTGATAATGTTGACGGTACCGCAGCCGTTGTGCTGGACGACCTTGTCTGCAGCGTGGTAGGCACCTCCTCCAATGATCCAAGACTGCTTGCCGGGCTTGTCTTGCTTGATGGAGATGGCGTCCTCGCAGACGTCCTCGAACCAGACAAATTCGAGAGTGCAGTGGCCTTGGCAGTGAACGCCCTCGGACTGGAACGAGTCAGTTAGGACTTCCCAGGTGTACTGTCAAGACCTTGATACCTGGTGCTTGCCGATGATCACATTGCGAAGCGTAGCGCCCTCCTTCAGCAAGAAGACGGCGTCCGAAGCTCCGCCCTCGGTCTGACCATTGCAGGCACCATTGCCACGGTCAAACCTGTACCATTGTCCGTCGTAGGTCTGTCCAGCGCCGACTTCGATGACCTTGCTGTTCGACTTGGTGCCAACAGCCTGGGGAACACCACCGGTGTATCCGTTGCATGCAAGAGTAGCGGGAAGGAGAGCTGTGGCGGCAGTGAAGATCTCGGCAAACTTCATGGTGAATATAATCTGATATACGAAGAAGAGTGATTCAGGGCAGAGATAAAGAGCGTAGCAAGACTCTAAAAGCAAACTGGTAAAAGAGGCTTAACCGGCGGGTATTCCACTGTATCGATGAAGTGTTGATCATCCCTCCTCCTTGCCACGCCTACTACCCAGCCAAGCTCCTAACTTGTGGTCAGTTCGTCTTACCAAGTTGGGAAATCCGACCTCCATTCCTCCAGGTCTTATTCGCGGAACTGTACACTGATATCTTGCACTCTTGGCAGTGCATCTTCCGCCCGACGCTACAGCGATGCCAAGGCGGTGCTCTATAAAAGCGCTTCTGCGGAGTGCGCGGAGAGATGCCTAGAAATCAGTGCCGAGTGATAGCTGGCAGATAGGGTATATTGTGCGTGCAAGTGAAACGCTCAGCAGCTTCCTTAATGTGTTGGCGCTTGCCGTTTCGATCCATGGTGTCTTGTGACGCAAGGCTTAGCACTGCGAGTACGCTTTTTACGGATGATTATCTCCGCCAACCGCTATTTCTCCAGTTTTGATTCCATGCGGAATCTGGATTTCTATCTAATATCCGCTGTGCTATATCTCATAAGCTTTCATAAGTGTAGAGCTGATGTTATCACAATTGGACGAGACGAAATAAAACTCTGGTCACTACGAAAGTGTGCCTTCCGTTAGAAAATAGACAGCAACTCAACTCATATGTGCAGTGCCCTAGCATCTCTGGTATTCTCCTTTTACTTCGGGTTTCGAATCATTCGCTTTACATCCTCCTAGCCAAGGAATTCAACGCGAAGGATGTAAATACCTTGGCTGCGAGTCGTCGCTCTTGCTCGCACCGTCGACAGGCTGTAGTAGTCTCAACACATTGGCTTGATATACGCAGAATCTGCTGTGGTGACTTGTGGGTCGAGGGTAGCTGTAAACATGGTTTAAAGCTCATCAAAGCACGTGGTGTTCAGTGCCGTGAGCAGAACAATATCCCCCAACAGTACAATCTCCTTGACTGACGCTATATCAAGAAGTTTATCAAGTGTTGGAAAACAAATGCAAACCATATCCTTCAGTCATCTCGGGTTTATGCGAGCCCAGACACCAGATAATCGATGCGTGAGCCTGAAGTGGTTGGGGATAGAGACTCTTCATCAAGCAGTGCTTGATCCTGCTCCATCTACCCAATCCCCCCCATTTCAGGTCCTACCGAAGCTTAAAATCCATGTCCTAGTCCCTCTTTCCACCACCCAGCCACAATCTCAATGGTGCACAGAAGCGCAAGCAACGAGGCGGGGTGCATACCGGAGTGTATGGTAGCGCGCATGCAGAGCGGCAAGGGGGTTACGCTTGACAAGAAAAACCCAGGTTCTGGAGAAACACGCCACGTGCGTGGGACAAGAAACGGAGCAATATCGATACATGGCTAGCCATTTTCCACGAATCAGCAGCAATGTAGTTGTTCGCGAAACATCACGCGGGCGTCTGGCATACATTTACATCAGTATGGCCGTCTCGGCATCCCCGAAGTACTCGGGTAGTCTTTAAGTCCCAGCTTCATGATGTAGATACCACAAAAATGCAGTTTTTTTTTTGGGTGATGACGACTTGGCGAGTGTCACATGCAATACTTGTTTAATCGCCCCCTGGTTTCTGGACAGCGTCTCGAATATAACATGTCTACATAACTTTGCCTAAAAAGTGACTTATCAAGTCGAACATGCTGAGATCTCTTATTTGCAATTGTATAGATCATACTCGTCGTCGATATAAAGCCACAGATCTGCGTGAACCCATGTGGGGTAAAGTAATCGCCACAGCCACGCGGCCAGCGCCACACACCTGCATCCACCCATGGCTTTCTGCTACAAAAGTGGCAGTGATCGGCTATTCCCATGTTATGGAGATGATTGGGTCTCCCTCTCTCTCTGTCTGAAATGGACTTCCTGATTTGGCATACAGGGGGGATATCTCGTATTCGTGTACCAATACATACTCGGTTCGTCATTCCCCCAGGTCGTCACGTCGAGTGAGGGAGGCGGGGAAATCATTAAGTTGAAGGGATCTGTTAACGTATGTGCAATTATGGTCAAGGCACTTTTGCTATTGCTGTGGCTTCTTGGTTTTCTGTCTACTTTTGTCATTTAGGCGGCTATTGGATAAACAAGTGGACTAGTATTACTTTTTATCGCACATAGAACAGGCAACGAGGTGTCCTAAATCATACCTATGTTGCTCGTTAGCTGGAATTCGGGACAAATGAGTTCGACAACTATTACGTCTAAACCATTTTTTTGAGTCTTTGAGACAAGTTTTTATTACTAAAACTCGAAATTTGTTGTTGTGTTTGCTTTGTTTCACTTCCTCGCGTGTTGCGGAATGCTCACACATGTTTGTATAGATACGTCTGCAAGGACTCGATTACGCTACTGGCCTTTCACAGCAGTAAAGTAATACTCATTCGGAACACTCTCCATCCAATCAATCTACTATTCACCGGCAATTCGGGCACTTTCTTTGCCTTGTAGCGGTGCATGCTGTTATCAATCTACCTTTCACAACAGTGGCACGTGCAACAAACACCATGGTGAGACTTTGCGTTCACTCGCGGATCCGCGACGCTCTCACTGCTCGTCGCTCGAGACAACAGGCTCCAGCGTATTTTAACCAGACTTGCTCCCGCCTCAACCTATGCCTGAAGTACAACTTGGCACAACCGTGCAACCGGGTTCTTCAACATGGCGCATCCTAACTCGCGTCCTATATCCCTCAATGCAGATTCCTCCATGTTGTCATACCCTTCGTCGTCATCGCCAGAACCAGTACCGGCTTCGGCGTCAACATCGGTATCGCGCACTGCTTCAACCACGGCAGTGTCTTTCCTGGCCAAATACACCAACGTATCCACTCCGCACTCGCCCACGGACGAATGTCCCATCTGCCTGGACGCCTACACGGCCGAGCCTTGCTTGCGAATCACAGGCATCGCGGGATGCAGCCACCACATCGGGGGTACGTGTTTGCGAGCCATGCTGGAGAACCGACCGAGGGACGAGAAGCGGTGTCCGCTGTGTCGCACCGTCTGGATACCCGAAGCTCCGCCTGGGATTCGGTCGCGGCCCCCAAGTCACGAGGGCGCAGTACGGACAGACAGCACGGTCCGAGGACCCAACAACATGGGCAGAGACGTCGGCAGCGGTCAAAGACGCCTTGTCAACGCTCCTCCAGTAGCAAGAGAGTTTGCACCACGAGGCACGCGGCCATTCTTTGCGTTTAACCCGCGGCAGGCAGTGCACCAAGGCATGCTGCGGCACTACGAAGCCCAAGGGCAGGGCCGCCATCAGCCCATTGTTATCGACTCGGCGTCGGAAGCAGAAGACGAGGCAGACGACTACGCGACTCAAGTGCACAACTTCACCAGCCTAACGCGCGACATCGCCGAAATCCGGCGCCGGGCAGGAACCATTCCACATCGCATGGGCAGCACAGGGCCCAGACGCCAGACGCGAGCAGCAGCCATCCCAGAAGAAGATGGAGAGGAAGAAGGTCCTACGACAATCAACCCTGGGGGTAATGGTAGGGGGAGCAGGGGTGGTAGTGGCGCAAACGGCAATCCCGCTAATCATCGTCATACACGGAGTGGAGGCAACTTTCCCGGTCTCAATACCCCAAGTGGCGCCAGTGCCAGTGTCTTTACTCGTCTAATGTTGCCTCCGGCGCGGAATACTCTTCTTCGCACGCCGGTAAACGCGACTGCGCCTCCGCCAGCAGCAGCAGCAGCAGCAGCGACAAGCGATGGTTTGAACGGCGGCGCCGCGCGTATGCAGCACGGCTTTGCGCTTGGCCAGGAAGACGGTGTGGAAGAGAGAAGGGATAATACGCAAGACGCCATTGCATCATTTGCGCTACCCGACTATCTGCGCACGCCCTCGATCGACGGCGACATGGTCATGGGTGGTGATGATGCGTATACTCCTCCGCAGCGGTCCCCGCCTCGCCTCGCCAATCAGTCGGACCTCGATGCTCGCAGCCGGTTTCTGGATCATCGAGAACAGGCGCTGCATGTGCGGCATATGGAGCTGGTGCGGCGCGAGGCTGCGCTGAGGGAGAAGGAGAGGAGTCTGGAGGAAAATGTCGAGGCGGTGAGGAGGGAGAAGCTGAGTTTGAGGGGGCTGCTGAGGAGGCAGAGAGACGAGTTGGATCGGATGTTGCGGTAGGGATGTGTGTGGTGGTTGTGGAGTAGAAGAAGTGTATACTGGAAGAAAAGATGAATGGAGTCTAAACTTACAACCTGTATAATGAAAATGAAAATGAAAATTTGTTCTCTCAATCATGAAACCATGTTCCAAAAAATCTTCCCATCAGCCCTACCACTCCTCGCACCTCTCCATACCCATACCCGTACCGTCACCACGTGCCGCGCGCCCCCTCCATCCCCAGTCCTATTTTAAACCACCACGCACTGCAATACCGTCACGTCTACGCGCCCTCTGCGCCGCACGTATACACGCCGGAAAAAATAAAACAAGGCAGACAGGTATGTAAGAGTGAGTAGGTAAGTAGGACAAACCAAGTGGGCGCAGCACACACACACACAGCACTACACCTACACTACACACGCCCAGCAACCCAGCCCTCGGGAACCCCGAAACGCGGCCGTTGATCCCCCCCAAAAAGCAAAGGCTTCCAGAGGCGCCAAGTGGTCTAGTGGAAAGCGGGAAAGGACCCACAGACACGGACACACATAGTAGATGCACACATACGTACATTACATTACGCTACAGCATGCAGTGGGCAGTGGCAGCACCACTGCAGGCCGCTCCAAGCGAGCGCAAAGGCATCCCTGTCTCATAAGGCGACGCCGAAGAAAGTCGTGGGGTTGGGGGTGGATGGGTGGGCGGAGCTTATTCCCATAACCCCCCCCCCCGCTAAAGAAGAAAACGAAGAAGAAGAAGAAGAAGAAGAAGAAGAAGAACACCAATACCTCAGAGAAAGAAGAGAGTACACGTCTATTTGCGCGGCTCAACAATTACTATTTTCTTTTGAGTTTTTTTCTTTTGCTTTTTTTTTACCTGCAAGGAGCGTCGAGAAGAAAGAGATAAAAATAAAAATAAAAGAGAGGTAAATGTTGCTATGTACCCATCTATGTATGTGATAGGTCCAAGTAAGTAAAAAAAAAGGGGGGGGAACAGAACATTTCTGGACACATGCCCATGGTCGCGGATGCTGTGGGATCCGGAAGGAGGTTAAAGTATACCTAAAAGAGCAGGCAGGAGGGGAAAGAAAAGAAAAAAAAACGCTATGTTTGTGTAGCAGTAGTAGTAGTTAAAAGGATCTATTTCTTTTTCTTTTCTTTTTTCGCTGGTAATCAGGTACAATGAGCAGTTAGTCACAGTTTCTACCAGAGCAATTAAATAGCGGCTTGTGTGTGTATACATAGACTGGGCGGATAGGTGTAAGTGGACGAACGGATGAATATTCAAGCGGGGAAGGGGGGGGGAGTGGGGAAACGGAGGATCGGAAGATTGGAGGTACGAGTTGGAGTATCCGTTAAGAAAGATAGAAGAAGAGACTTGATGATAGTGTCAATAATGGTGTCGGCAATAGTGCCAACGCCAAAGCAAGGCTCAGCCCCCCCGGTGGTTTGGAGTAAGTAAGTAGTAGTAGTAGTAGCACGTTAGCTAGGCTGTTCTGTCCCCCCCTCCCCTCCCTCCCCCTTCCGACACACGTACGAGGGAGGGCCGGCGCAGCAAAGACGGTGGCGTGCTAGTTATTACCTACTATTGGTAAGCCAGGGCGCACGCGCACGTGGACGCGGATCCGCAACGGCGGGATTTTCATGGGGCGGGCGGGTGTTCGTCTCGAGCTGGTTTGCGCCCGGGGACATGGGTACATAGTACTTACATATGTCACATGCCTGTCGAGCTGAAGGCGCCCCCCCCCCTTGAATCAGGGCGCACCCCCCCTTCTTCCCCTTCCAAAAGGCCTAGAATGCCACCAACCCCCGAATGGCGTTGGCGTACCGCTGTTTATCTGATAGTTGTGTGACTCGGTTATTATTTCCCTTTGCACTACTTCCGTGTGTTCGACTCTAGCTTTCTTGTTGAATGTTTGAATCGCTCTGTGTGTGTGTGTGTGTGTGTGTAGTAGTAGTGGATGCATTATTTGGTATTTCAAATCGCGAAAAATATAAACATGAATTTGTTGGAGAGAAGATATGCTTATTATGACAAGAAGAAACCGAGAAAAAAATTATAGAACCGAAAAAGAGGTTAATGGTAATGGTGACTTGAAGATAGAGACGCGAGAGAACAAGAAAGTGGAGAGAGAGAGAAACGAGAAACAAGACCATGGCGGAAAAACACATCCCGTGATTTTCAAAAAAGAAAAGAGCGTCCCCGGCAAAGGCGCCCAATATCTTGTCGGCTATCTGCGCTTCCTAGTCAAGAAAGAAAAGAGACCAAAAAAAGAAACCGTGTCCCGGAGGATTTGGACTAGCTAAAACGCCAACGCCAACGCCAGCGCTAAGACGGGACCATGACCCCAAGATGACAAAATCGAGAGAAAAAAAGAAAAAAAAGGTTAGAAAGACTTATTGTGTACGTGTTGTTGAAGACAAACGAATGGTGTGGCCAGCCACGATTATCGGTTTGGAAAAGAAGAAGAAAGAAAGAAACAAAGAGGTTGATGACCGAGAGAGAGAGAGAAAAGCGAGCATGCCCTGGAAACTATAATAATGGCGGTTGCGTGGGTCGGAGACATCGTGTGTGAAGCCGTCAACGTCGATACGGCCGTTATGCTGCATTGGTAGCGTAGCGCCCCCGATTCATAAAATGGCGCCATTTTACATGACGTGGATGCAAAAAAAAGGCTAATGGGTGGGGTATTTGCAAAGGAAGTCTGGTAGTAATCCAAAGGCGAGAAGAGGCATTATCGTGTGTGTGTGTGTGTGTGTGTGCGTGTGCTTGGTGGCGGTCAAAGGGCTTATCGTCGAGACAAGATGATCTGTTGGATTTGGGCCAGCGAAGGGTCTTCGTTGAGCCACTTTCCCTGGGCGGCGTCTGCAGCACGCAGCGTGTTGTCGACATAGGCGTCCGTCATGGCCATGAGCTCCTGTTGTGCACTTGTCAGCGGACGTTTTTCTTGTACCAATAGCAATGCTCGGATCTTGTCCAGCTACGCCACATACGTTTCTCAATGTAGCATCAGCTTGTTGCAGTGCTGCAAGATGACTGGCATTGGGCTTCTGGCCACGCAGGATGCTTTGACGGCTGTTCATCCACCGAAGCCCAGCATTGGCTCGAAGATAGGCGCGTTGGCATTGGAATCGGCGTACGGCTGCATCTACAATGATACTGTGGTTGCGTGTCAGCATCCTATCAACACAAGACCGCGTCTGATACTGCTTCTTGCACTCGCAGGCTCAGGGGTGCATTGGTGGCAAACAAGCCGTGGCAGCGATTGGAGAAAGCACTTACGCCTTGAGTTGCCTTTTCTCATACTCTGGGTCGCCGGCTCCCGAGCTGGTGCTGCTGGCGAATGGCGTCTGGAGGATGGCCTGGGCCTCGCTCGTGCACTGCCGGAGAAGGGAGTATCCGTCCAGATAGTACTCCTCGGCCGTGGGTGTGGCGCGCAATTGGACCAGGTAGTGTTGGAGATTGCGAAAGTCGGTCATGATCTCGGCTACGCGCATGGCGCGGGCATCGTTGACTTGAACATGTCAGTAGATGGTTTCCATGGGCTGGGAAGCGGCGAGGGAAGGCTTACGGCCGTCCGACATGGTGGGTATTAGGATGGGGAAGAGAGTGAAGGTCGGCTGGCGACGAAACGGGCAGTGGCAGTAGAAGCGGTGGAAACGAAGCAAAGGACTGTGTGGCTGGCGAGAAACGAAGGCGAGGACTGCTGGTGGTGAGTGCCTGGGCAGAGAGGCGCGGCGTGGGGAGCGTTATATAGGCGTGTGTCGACGCGGGCATACTGGCAGCGTGTGGACGAGGCAGTAGGGCGCTGAGGGAGCGTCTGGATAGCATGGTCGAGGATGGCAGGCTTGCTGCAGGGCTCCTCCCGCCGCTACATGGTGCCGAGCTCCACTCCAGGGCCGTGGGCAGCTACCAGCTGTGCTAGGTTCGTCGCGGGCTGCACCATTCAGCGTGGGCGGGCGCGGCTTGGGGCTTGGAGTCGCTTGGAGTCGCGAGGCCTGGCGGCGGCGGCGGGCGGCGGGTCCAGGGCGCTGCAATGGGGAAACGCAGCAGCATGCAGGAACCGTGCGCATGCCGCATCGCGACGTGGTGTTTTTTCTTCTTTCTTGTGGGTGCTGTGTCGCCGCAGCTGGAGCAGCCTGAGGCCAGCGGCCGTCTTCAGCAGCGCGGAGAGACGCCACGGCGCGCATTGGGCCTAGCGCGCCAGCCGCGGGGGCCCGAATCGGGCAACGCAGCCCTTGCAGGCGGCGTCGCGGCGCTCATTGGGCGGCGGCGGGCATCGGCCGTGGGCTGCTCGCCGCGCCCGACAGCCCTAACACGCCCGTCGACGCTGGCCCGCCGCGCACGCCAGCAACGCTCGCCAAAGCCACAGCTGCAACCACGCAAAGGCAGTGTCAGCCACCCCGCGGCTGTGCTGGCCGCAACCACCCGCCCAGCCAGTTACATGACGTCGCCCGGCCGCTTCATGAGTTGCGCCCGCGCCGTTGCAGCTGAGCGCCCATGGGAATCTGCGCCCGCCAGCGAATGGGCATCTGCGCCGCCGCCGCCCGCGACCCTCTCACGCACCCATCTGCCTGTACACCGAGGCACGAGCCCGCGTCTGCAGTCTAACGTCTGTATTCATCGTGCTGCTAGAGCCCTTCCGACGTCTGAGAGGCCGTGTCATGCTACCGCTGATATCGTAGTGCTTTGGATCGTGCCGTCATACCTGAGCCACCCACACCTCCCAACCGCCCGCCCATGCCTGCCGCTGCTCAGTCCTTGTCCGCGATTGACTGCAGGCGCTCGTCGATCTCGTCCTCGCTGAGCGCCCTGAAGGCTGCGTCGGTGCCCTCCTCGCCGTTGCCCTTGGGGCCGCCGACAATGCCAATCTCCAGCTCCCCCTTTTTGAAGTCGACCGACAGCACCGTGCTCAGCGCCGTGATGGCGAGCTCCACCACCTCTTCCCAGCTGCCCTCGGCGTGCTCCTTGTTCTTGAGCTTCTTCTCCAGGAAGTTGAGCGCCTCCTGCGTCTTGGGGCCCGACGCAGTCGCCTTGTACCCGACATAGTAGCCCGCCGGATCGCACTTGTACAGCTGCGGGCCAAACTCAGAGTCGAGCGAGATGAGCGTCGTGGCCACGCCCAGCGGTCGCATGTAGGCCTGTCCCGGTGTGTCAGCAGTCCCTCTCCGTCACATGTCTGCGGGCCATGCTCGTACCCTCTGCGTGTAGACCTGGCTGATATTGGCTATTCTCTTTGCCAGAACGTCACAGGGCATCTCGTACCCATACTTGTAGCGGAACTCGGCAGCCTCGCCACGCGCTCTGCTCACCGAGGCCCTCGCATCGGCAATGGATCCAGTCATGACACAGCCGACCGAGGGGGACAACCGGAAGATGTGCGAGACCGACGAGGGGTCAATGAGCTTGTCCTGTAGCCGACGTCAGTACACCCTGTGCAGCCTCGCCCGCTGGTGTGGCATAGTCCCATACCGGCACCTTCTTCTGTGACCGAAGCAGCTGGTGCGGCGCGTCTTGTCAGGATGCACAGGCCGAATGAGAGGTCGCAGGCAGAGAATTTCGGGGCTGATGCTAAGGGAGCACGGGCCAGGCGGCGGCGATCCCAGAGCTCCAGTGCCAGGCCACAAGCAACGCGTACAGCGAAACAGCCATCACCGACAACCTCGCCCTGCTTCTAGACCCCGCGCCGTGTTTGAGCTTACGCATATTGCTGGGCCTTGCTGCTGAACGCTGGAGCTGAAGACGACGAGTACAAATACACGCCGGATAGACGACCCCTCATCATGTCTGGTGCGTAGGACAGGCCCGCCAGCTGCGGTCCAGATGGCCACACCGGTGCCAACAACAGCTGACGTCGCCGTGTAGGAAGCGCAGGCTACGACAGGCACATTACCATCTTCTCGGACCAGGGCCGCCTCTATCAAGTCGGTACGCACTCGATTGTTCCCCCACGGCCCCCCCCCCCCACCGACACACACACACCGCTGGGGCTGGCTCGAGCAAACAGCAGCTGCTAACGTCTCGCCGCTAGAATATGCATTCAAGGCCATCACTGCCGCAAACATCACATCACTGGGCGTGCGGGGCAAGGACTGTGCGGTAGTCATCTCGTGCGCGGTGCATTTCAATCTCCGCATCTTCTGTCGCACATAGCCATATTCCACATCTGATCATGGCCCAGAACGCTGCCAGAATTCCCGCCTGGCGGAGGTTGGGTCTCGCCCTCAAGAATCAAGACGACACCGGAGTCGCCGTACCTGACCCCCAGGCGCCTTCTGTGCCCTATAGCGACCAGGACATATCGCAGCATCAAGCCGCGTCCGCCACGGACCATGCCGCAGACAGCCAGTCGCTGAAGCTTGGCAAACGGAAACACCAACATGAGCCCGTGGACCACCATCACCAAGAACCCAAGAAGAGTCGGGTCGCGGCTCCAAACGCTCAACCCAGCCCAGAAGCCCATCATGAGGTTACCACTGCCAGCCCAAGAGTAGAAGCTCCCACGGAGAAGGCTCCAGTGACAGGGAAGCCTGCCAAAGGAGGAGACTCGAACTACCGAAAGAAGAAGGAAAAGCCACCAAAACGCCGAAAAGCAAATCAACAGGTTCAGCAGGCTCCCTCTGCGCCGCACACCCACTTACCTGAGGTGACCTTGCCAGACCGCCCTGCTTTACTTGCCTCCACCGAGACTGCGGAACCCGTGGCAACCCCGCAGAAGCCCTCAAAAAAGCCAAGCCACAAGGACTCCTCTCGATCACCACCGCTGACGGATCGAAAAAAGTGTGTTGCCTTTACCCCAGACACCAAAAAGTCCGACGGCAACACCGGACAGGACTACTTCAAAGCCTGGGTCGCGCAACAAAAAGGCACTGGAGAAGTGTCTCAGCCGCCAGAGGTCTCAGACTTTGTTCTACACGCATTGATTGCTGACGAGGAGAAGACGGCAAGGAAAAACGGGCAGCTAGAAAAGAAGCAGGGAAGTGAGGGTATTGCCAATTCGAAACTCAAAGAAACCAAGTCCCAAGACAGGTCATTGTCGAAGCCGGCTAAGACTGAAGAGCCAAAACCTGTCTCAAAACCTGCTCCACCGAGTACTCCGGGAGCCAAAGGAAAGAAGAAGGATCCATCCATTTATATCGCCTATCTCACACAATATCACAACGACCGGGAAAACTGGAAGTTCAACAAGGCCAAGCAAAACGACGTCGTTGACAATGCGTTGAACATCTTCCGGATCCCAATAGAGCACTCTGAAGCATTAACCACGTACGTTGCTGGACTGCAGGGCGCGGGCGTCATCCAGCGTTTACGTGAGCGCTGCCACGCAACATTGAACGACCTGGACGAGCAGGACGCACAAATGGACGACGCAGAGGCCCGCAAGATTGCTCAAGAAGAGGCCGAACAGGAGCGCATCGCCAAGGAACGAAAGAGGAGGAAGACTGATGGCGATTTGGCAAGCCTGGCAGAGCACCCGTGGAGCCCTGGGTTTATCAGAAGACTCCAACGACATCGAGCCGAGGCGCTTTTGAATGCTTTGGGCCGCGCCGAGCCGGTTCTACCTGCTGTCGCGCCCAAGTCGAGCCTAAACCCGCTGATGCAGCACGTCGAGCCAGCAAAATCCAACGCGCGGAAACGCAAACGCAGAAGCGAAATCTCGAGTGATGAAAGCAGTTCCGACAGCAGCAGCGACTCGGATTCAAGTTCGGATTCGGATTCGGACAGTGCCGATTCAGACGCTGAGTCTGACAATGAGCCTGAAAAGAATGCTGCTAGATCCGACGAGAGCGAGAGTGATCGCAGCAGTAGCAGTAGTAGCAGCAGTAGCAGCAGCAGCGATTCATCGAGCGACTCTGATAGCGACTAGGCGGCAGAACGATTGTCCAGACAATACGCTTTTCATTCGACAAACGAAGAAATTGGATTAGGTCAGAGGGGTTTGGCACACATTTCTCCGTGTAAATACCATTGTTCCAAAAAGCCATTGCGAGTCCTTGAGTAGCACCGTACATTACTACAAGCAGACTGTACAGACATCAATAGCCTCTAAGTAGCCCATCCCCGCCAAAGAAAGCTGCTTCCAAGTTGGGAAAAATATACATGTATGATACCCAAATCAGCTAGTCCTCCCCCTCCAACATGGTCCGCGGATTCCCCGCTCTCTTTAACCTTGACGTACTATGATACTCTGTGACTCCAGCCTCTTAAACCCAAACCCACCACTACTCCCCCCTTTTCTCACACAACCATGCCGACTCTCCCATGTCTCCCCACCGAGCTCATCGAGCACATCGCCTCGTACCTCGATCTCTGCAGCACGCGCTCGCTCCGACTAACCAGCCGGCCCTTTCCCCCTGCACTATCCCGCATATTCAAAGCCCGCTTCTTCCACCAGCACACAGTCACATGGAGCGAGCAGAGTCTCAACATACTCTTGGAAATCTCAACGCACCCCACGTATGGCGCGGCTCTGCACCACCTCCGCATCGACGCCCCGCCCCGCCACTCCATCCGCCTGTGGCAACTCCGCGAACAGCGAGTACACAGCAGCGTAGGACTTGGCGGCGAGTCGAGCGCCGCAGCGGTCGAAACAGAGGCGCAGCGTAGTCTCCGCCAGCAATGTGAAGTTGCACAGCAGCAAAGCCAGCAGAACAGCACGTTTTTCAAGGAAACGCGCGCCGACCTCAAGATACTCGGGCATGTATTTGATAACTTGGCTGCTGCGAATGCGCCGTTGTGCAAAATCTCGTTTGTATACAAGGGCATTCCGCCCATGAGCTACGGGTCCACGCGTGGGTATTGCATCTATAGCCAGTGCGAAGTATCACGGCCATTTGTATCGACAATGGCAGCACTCGCATCATCTTATTCCTCTTCCTCTTCATCTGCACCTACACGACACATCCGTCTCTCGAGCATCGCCATCGACAGCACGCACAACCACGGCGCCATCAGCATCGGGCGTCTAGAAAGCATCGCCCCGTTCCTGGGCTCGTTTGACCGCGCCTTCGACTCTCTGACACATCTCGCGCTGAACCTGCGCGACTGGCGCCGCAGCGAAGACGGATTCCGCCCGTTTGACGCCTCACGCCCGCCATTTGTCGTGCGGTTCCTGGCCAAAGCACGGAATCTGCATACGCTGCGGCTGAGCTGCTTCAGCACCATTGAGCGCGACGTCTTCGCCTCGATTGCTACGCACTGCCGCTTCGAGAAGCTCGTTTCGTGCCAGCTGGCCGTCATGAGCATCCCGCATACAGATTCCCTATCTGCGTTTCTGCGCCCGGCTAACGAATCGCTGGCGGAACTGTGCTTGAAGCAAATGGAACTTTGGGATCCAGTAACCACGTGGGCAGAGTGGCTGGCTAGTCTTGCATCTGCGCCAAAAGACGACGACGACGACGACGACAACGACAACAACAACAACAGCAGTAGCTACACGGTTTTCCCCCGCCTGTCCCACATCTGTGCTGCGGATTTGATCCAGGAGCACCGCGGGGAGCTGCGTGTTGCGGGACGCTCCAAGTTTTCCTTTGAAGACGACTGGCGGCCGGGCTTGAGAGACGCCATGGAAAAGGCTACGACAAGGCCGTGGTACTCGCCCTGGGGCATTGGCGATATGCAGTATCCTTTTTTGCACATGGCAATATAACGTTGTGTCGATGGATATATTCCTCATTTTCTGTTTTTTTTTCCGCGAATGGGATACGGGGTATTAAAGGCAATTTCACAAATAAATGGATATATCTACTAGAGTGTTGTATTGTCAGTGAGCTAAGCAACACGGTAAAGTACATGATAGAACGCAGTCAAGTGCTTACCCATCACCGTATGCACCACAAGTAGGCTATCATCTACATGGTGTTATGGAATGATTCTTTACCAACTACACGACATGTACGTTGATCGTGTTTCAAGACAACGCAGGATACAACCAACATGGAAGCACATGACATGATGCACAAGGCTTGAACCTAAAAAATTGCAATTGATCGACCTATGCGTATACATACACATGCTTGCTCATACCAACCAAAGAAATCGTCGTTATACAAATCGGTTGGTATAGTCCCTTCCTTTTCCCAATTTCTCTACGCCATGACCCTATTGTTTACCGTAGACTCGAGAAAACAACCATTTGGGTTCAAAAGCTCACTCAGAATACACACCCGCCTGGAAAAAGAAAGGAAGGCTTGAAGCCCAGACGTCGCAGCCAACAAAAACAAACTCCCCCGAAAAAGAGAAAAAACAAAACGCCGAGCGCAACTCTAGACTGGCGCGCCACAAAGAAGATAAACAGACCGTTGTATAATTCCCTGCACAACGCCGGTGAAATGATAGCCCCAAACATCCATCATATATACACTCCACCAATAGACAGATTACGGAAGAAAATGTCGATAAGCAATCCGTCATTGTCGTATTCGTATTTCCCCTGCCGATCCAAGCGCCCGGCACGATAAGGAAACATGAGAAATGCATTCGACTTTTCTGGTGAGTGCCTAGACTGCAGCAATACTGCAGGTGAACAAGGAGTTACAATGACATAACGCCAAGCGCCAGTCCATGCACTGTTGAGGGCGACGCCAAAGCGTCTCGGGAGAAGGAGAGGAAGGAGAAAGGAGCGGGAAGATTACAAAATTGTAAGGGGTGGAGCGTCATGATCGTCGGAGCAGCTGATGCCATGCACCCAAATCACAACACAGTCATGACCATGGCGATGTGTAGAAGAAGCACAACGCTACCTGACAGCGTATGGACACTCAGTTACCTGAACCAGAGTGAGCGACTGTCTGAGTACTTGGGAGGATAGCGAGTGGTTTCTTTTTTTTTCTTTCTTTCTGGTGGGGTGCTGTGTTTCGTTGGGGCTGGTTATACGAACCGGTTCATCATCTGCCCCTGTTGCATCGGCATCATGTGGACACCGTTAGGCTGCATTTGAGCGATGCCGTATGGATTTTGGTGGTTAATGTCGCTCCCCAGGAAGTTATTCATGGCCGCGCCGTGGAGACCTTGGGCCTGGGATACTGGGCAGTCCTTGTGGGCAAGGAGTAGCGTCTTGAGGTTGACAATCTCCTCGCGAAGCTGAGTGACGGTTGCAGATAGAGCGTCGTTCTCGGTGCTAAAGAGCTCAACCTTGGCCTGGAGATTGGCAAGCCACTGCTTCTTGCGTTGTCGGCACTTGAGGGCAGCAACGCTAATGTTCACGTCAGCAATGCACATGGACAAAACATCAAGTACAAGGACATACCGATTCCGCTCGAGGAAGTTCTTGCGCTTCTCCTCGTCCGTCATCTTGCGGCCCTTGCTGTCGTACTCCTCCTCCTTGATGTTGTTGTTGTCATCGTCCGACTCGCCATCGTCCATGTCGTCGCCCATGCCTTGGTTGGGGTTGCTCTTCTTTCGCGCGCTCTTGGGAGCGTCGTCAGCCTTTCGCTTGTTGCCCGCAGCTTGTTTGCCATTAGCAGCACCCTTCTTCGCACGTGACCGTGTGCCGGTCTTGGCTTGCTCACTCTGGCCACTCTCGGAGAAGTCTCCCGTCTCTGCGGATTGAACGCTATTGATGGAGCCCTTTGTGTCGCGACGGTTGTGGTTGGCGTTTACAGGCTGGACAGGCATGTGCCCAGCATTCATCGACTGCTGTTGAGGCGCCATGGAGAAGGGCTGCTGGTTGTTGCGCGCAGCGCCGTTTTGGCTTGCAAAGGACAGGAGATCATTGGCCGCACTGCTGACGTCATGGTTAGGATAGGGCTCGTTGTGGGCACGCTGCTGCGGCGGTTGCGCCTGCTGGAAGCTGTTGGGCTGGCGATCCATGCCTGCAGTGGCGGCTTCAGGCTGGGATGTCGGGGCGTTGGACGTGGCCTTGTTGTTGCTATTGGCGTTGGACGACGAGTTGGCCTGGTGCTGGGCAGCGGCGCGCAAGGCAGACTGCTGGAAATCGGCAGTGCCAGGCGTGACACCGGCGCTCTGGAGGTTGAAAATAGCTTGGGTGTTGGGGCTGGGGGCCGGGAACATGGAACCACCTCCTCCAGGCGTTAGGCCAGTGCGGAGCGAGGACTCGTTGGGTGTCGGGAAGCCTCGGAATGACTCGCTGAAATAATCCGTTTGACCAGTCGGTCCGCTGAGCATAGCAGGGCTCAAGGGTCCCGCGCGCAGGCCCTGCCAACCAGGTGTGATGCCCGGAAGTGGTGACGGTGACGTAATGTTGGCAACAGGTGGGAGAATGGGACGGCCGCCGGGGGTCTGCAGGTTTCCAGACTCGCCACCAAAGGACTGCTCGAAGACGTTGGGCTCAAGCGAGAAGGGGTTGTGGACCGTGTTGAAGTAATCGGGCGTGTCGCCAGTGGTTGCGGGGGCAGGCTTTGGTGGAGGAGCCAATGGCTGAGCATTGGATGTTGCGGGCTTTGGGTCGGCGGTGCTGACTGCTTCCGTCGTAGCAGCTGGCAGTGGGTTAGCATGCTGGTTTGGTGGTGGATGCGAGGACAACGGCAGCGGCAGTTGGACATGTCAATGGCAAGGTGACTTACACTGGGGCTTTGGAGGGGACTCTGTCTTGACGGGCTCGGCTACAGCACCATGGTTAGCAAGGCTTGGGCAACGAGATGATGACGCGATGGGGGATGGACACGGCGACGACAATGCATGGGCACGAAGACACACAGGCAGGAGGAGGAGGGGGAGGTGGTGGTGGTGGTGGTGGTGGCAGCAGCGACGACGGCGGCGGCAGTGAGGATGCAGCGGTGAATGCAGCGGCGATGGGGGGGAGCGCAGCCAAAGGGGGGAGGAGGAGATGGGGGTGGGAGGAGCAGGACGAGGTACACACCTTCGGGCTTTGGCACAGCAGCAAGATTATTTTTGCTGTCCTTGGGCGAGGACATGTTGGATGACGGGGAGGAGGTACGGGCACTCTGGGTTGCGGCAGCCATACTTTGGGGTGGTGACGTAGCGGAGGTATCCTGGGCGATCGCTTGTGGTACTCGGGGGCCTTGACCTTTCTCGACGCAACGCGACGTGTCGGGCGGCAGCTGCACTGGGGGGGGGGGTGCGCGCGCGTGCGCTTTTGCAGGCGAGATTGGAGCAACGACGGGGGTTGCTCTGGGGCACGTCAGCGAGTCAGCGCATGCAATTGCACGAGACGGCGATGGAGGCAGCGGTGGTGGTGGTAGTGGTGGTGGTGATGTTGCGGTGGACGCGACTGGGGGGGCAGGCAGGCAGGCAGGCAGGCAGGCGGGCGGGCGGGCAGGCGGGCTGGGGACGTGGCAGAGTCGGGCGGTCGAACAACAGCAAAGCCGGGCGGGCTCGCAACTACGTACCTCAGCAAAAAGAAATCGACGGGACGGCCGATGCGGGGTAGAGGCGTGTCAATGGGGCGGATGGGCGTGATGCAGCGGCGGGTCGCTGGTCGCGGCGCAGAGCAGAGCAGCTGCTGGGCCCGTCTGGCAGTGGGAATGGATTTCTCAATGGTGACGTCAAGCCCCTGGGGAGACGGTCGCGGCCGCTGCAGACTTTGCCGGGCGGCGTCGCGCTGGGCTCGGGGGGCAGGGCGAGGGCAGCAGCGCAGCGCAGAGCAGAGCAGAGGCAGCGCAGGCGCGTCGAGGGCGTGGTCGTGGTGCTCGATGAGGCTCAAATGCGGCGGGTGGTGACGGGGATTGCTGCTTGGGGGGGACGATGACAAGTGAGGCGTTCACGATGAGGTCAGAGGACAGGACGAGCGAGCAATTTCTGGGAGTGACGCAGCCGGCGCCAAGCAGATAACGTGATTTCCTGGTTCGTAATCAAACACCGGGTCCGCCGCCGCCGCCTGCCCAATCACCGCCGCCCGCGCCCCACCCCGCCCCACCCCGCCGCCGATCTGCAGCCCCTTTTGGCTCGCTTGCCACGAGACGCAATCAATCACACCCGCCTGCCCACGCCAGCCAGACACCGCCATGCTCTCTCCACCGACCCGGCCACTACCACCACCACCACCACTCCTCCTCCTCCTCCATCCCAGCCCGCCAGCTACACCCGCCAACCTCCAGCTCCAGCTCCCCTCCCCCTGCACGCCATATATACTCTTCTACACCACACCACACCACACCGCGCCATGAGCCCTCCCTCGCCACTCCCACACGTGCTGCCGCTGCCCGTCGCGCTGCTGGGCCCGCAATAACGGCCAACGGCTCTGGCTCCCCTTCTGCCACATGCCGGTCCCGTTCCAGACCTCGATTCGCCCATGTTTCGTCGATCCACGCCGCCCTCTTCGCTGTATCGGCTCAAAGCAAAGAGCATCCAAGACGTCGCTCCCCGCGGACTATTGCACCGCCAGCCCAATCACTGCATATCCTGTCCTGGATAGCCTTGTTTTTTGCCATGCCCATCGCGATCCAAATGCTCCCCGAGCTCACCGTGTCTGCCCTCCATCTCGACTCGACGGTCCAGGATCGCCTGCCTGCCCTCCTTCAGGGGGAGCCAACACTAACCATCACGCCTTGTGCTAGTTCCACACAATACTCTCTCCCCCATCAACGGCTGCATACCAACAAGTCCGCGTGCGCGTCCGAGTTGCCGCTTCCCCGGCTTCGCTTCGCTTTTTGCCTCTGCCTAGTCGAGTAGAATAACGGACGCCATGCAACATGTCTGTCTCGTCCTTTTCTCATCATGGCGTCACTCTTAATTCTCCACATAACACACATACCGCTACTTTCATGCCATGCTTTTGTCCCTAGCACCGCCCTTTGCCATGCACCCTGCTCGACTCAGACGCTGCCCGTCCTGAAACCATCCAGAGCGATCGAATCTATATCTGGCCCCAACACATGGCCTTTGATTTTGACTCTTGTGCTTGCATTGCTGTGTGGCACTTTTCCCGCCTATGCGGGCACTACTTCCAGCGAACCAAGATTTGGAACCGCGTCGCTTCAGCCCGGCTGCGAGTCCAACCAAGTCTTGGCTGCAGTCGATCGAGTGTGAGTAGCCTATCGAGGTTCCGGCGTAAGAAATAATATTCGCTGCTGCAAGTGTTTGTGATGGCGTCGTGGATGTGGGTGTTGTGGTAGTGTAAAAGCAAAGTGTTCAACTGAATTAATATCCGATCCAGTCAAAATGGCACACACACGGCAATATGTCGCTACCAGCCACCGAACCTTGACCTATCCCCCAACCCCCCTTATCTCCACAGGACCCAAAAATACTCAATCGGATTGTCAATAGCCTACCGCCATCACGGAGAGGAACAACCATGCAGTTTATCAAATCGCATGAATCATTTGCACACCATCAAGTTTATCGGATCGTCATTGTAAATCTCCATGTTTCATGTGCGTGTCTTGAATCGCCTAGCAACTTGATCTTGAATACAAATGCAAAGGCATCAGAGCCAGGTTGGCGCTACAAAATTATACTTTGCAGCAATGACGTCGAGTATTGCATTAAGGGATAGAATTGCAGTCGCTGAATCAGAATCACGGTGTATTTTGCACCCACAAAAAAAAATCTCGCAGCTTCAATTACAAGACGCCCTCGTGTTAAGCTATACGTGCAATACCGCATCCGGTAAACCACAACGAAGAAATCTCTACACAGTCCCACACACACACACACACGGCCAAACTGTGGAGCCAAGCCTAGCCCATTGCAGCAGCGCATGCGGCGTCGGCCATTTGCGCGTGGAGAAAAGCCACGATAGGTAGGTATCGGGGAGCTCCGAGCGGTGGGCTGAAGGGGTAGGTAGGGCATGTAGCTAGACGAACGACCAATGTAATCCGACTGCGCAGAGGTCTACTTTTCTCACTCTCACACGTTCCTCTTTTTTTTCTCGCTCTCGCTCATACACGTACACGTATATCCACGCACACCACCGAATGCCCGATAGCGCTACAACACGCGTCGAAGCGCTCACCCGCCACTTGTCTACTACACCGGCGTCGCCCACATCTACAAGCACAAGCACAGCTATGGCCAGCGAAACACCACAAAAACCCCCAATCACATGCCACGTCCTCGACACGACGCTCGGGCGGCCCGCTCCCAACATCCCCGTCACCCTGACCCTCCACGCTTCTCCCAGCACCTCGGCCTCCTCCCTCAGCACCTTTAGCGCCACTACTAACGCTGACGGACGCGTAACTGCCTGGACGCCCAGCACGCCTTTTTCCGCCACGTCTCTCTCCTCGCTCTTCAATCTACCCGAGGACCAGACGTACAGCCTGACGTTCAACACGGCCGAGTACTTTGGATCGAGAAACATAAAGGCGTTTTTCCCAGAGGTCCAAGTCAAGTTTTTGGTGAGGGCAGAGGCAAAACAGGAGCATTATCATGTCCCGGTGCTGTTGGGGCCGTTTGGATATACGACGTATCGGGGGAGTTAGGGGGGAAAGGAAGTGCGGGTATGAATGGATGAAGTGGGAATGATATTGTAATAGTGGAATATCTAGTAATCTATTGACCTAACATACTCCCATATATTCTCTCTCTCTCTCTCTCTCTCTGTCTCTCCCTCTCTCTATCTATCATTCTCTCTCTCTCTGTCTCTCCCGCTCTCTATCTATCATTCTCTCTCCCCCTCTCCATGTGTATATCTATACCCCATCCCTCCCCAGCCTAAAACGACAACGAAACCCATAAACATGGGCATTTGTAATGCATACAACATACACATGTAGCGACAGAAAATGACTCAAACGCAGGGAAAGAGAGGGAAAAAAAATACATGAGACGGCAGACGTGAGACAGCGGGTATGCGACAGATAGACAGACAGACAGGAGGGATGAGACAGAAGTAATGAGACGAAAGGTGGAGAAGGTGGAGAAGGTGGGGGGGGGGAGTATACCTGAGGCAGAGAGAAGGACAGATATAGAGAGAGAGAGAGAGAAGTCCATGAATGAGTAACTACTAACATATTGAAAAGTGCAAGGCTAGATAGGCAGAGTAAGTACATTTCACTAGACTTGGATTCCATCAGCTGGATACAAGTATGGAAAAGAGAGAGAGAGAGAGAGAGAGAGAATCGAAGAGCATGAAAAAGAACATTAGTATGAAACCAGACATAAAATGCCTTCCTCGGACATGTTTCTACACACTACACGGGCAGCAGGCAATATCGCAACACGTCAAAGAGAAGGTGAAACACCTACACACAGAGATACACACACACACAGATGGACACCAATGGAGAGAAAGAGCAAGAGAAAAAGACAATAGATGGCGCAACTAGCATTTTCTTTTCTTGGTTTATAGAGGGCGCACCCTATGTGGCATTCCTGAATATAAGAAAAAAAATAGCAAGCACGAACAGATGGATTCAAGATTCAAACCCATCACCTGCATGCATTGCTACTTTTCTCCAACTCTCTTTCTTTCTCTCCGTCCTCAAACACTACTCTCTCTCTCTCTCTCTCTCTCTCTCTCTCTCTCTTATTTCCTCCCTCTCTAGCTCTCTTTCTCACACCAACCATACTCTCACTCTCACCCCACCAACTTGTACCACTTTCCAGAGCCTCCCCACTCTCATGGATCCATTCAAAAGTAAACTAAAGAAAACGTACGTCGGCGCTAGACGTCAAGTATATATGAACAGAAGAAGATCATGACAAGAGATCCCTGGGATATCAATGAACGGAGTCTGACACACGCCAAGTGGGAGATAATAGTAAAAAGAAAAAAAATCTCAGCAAGAAATGCATCCGAGATGCCAGATCCCGAGGCCGGAGTGAAGCCTAGACCTGTTTTCGTAGAAGTGAAGATGAAGATGAAGAAGAATAAGAAGAAGAAAAAACGACAAAAAAAAAAGAAACATTCGCTCGCCCAGTCCCGCTAGACTTGGGCAATGGATTGATAATGCCCATGACATGAAAAAACGCCGTTGGAAAGATTCAAAGTCGATAATTACAGCAGCTCACTCTGGTTGGTGTCTGAAAAAGGACTGAGATCTCTCTTGGAAACAGCACTGGTTCGTTTCGAGGCTGATGACTCCTCGACAATGGGAGTCATGGGTGCACGAAGGCCCAGTGAAGTGTCGTAGGAAGTGATGCGTTGCGACATGTTGGGCCGTGGTGGCTCGAGCGACGAGCTATCGGAAAAAGGACTGCTGCCCGGGCTTGGGCTGGTGTCTTGGAATTCGGTCAGTTCCGAGTCGCGCTTGCCGGCGGGCTTTCCAAGGAGTGACTGCTGTGCACGTGCGTGGTTGTCATCGTCGTCCAAGTCGGAGGCCAGGCTTCCCCTGCGTGCGCGCTCGTGTAATTCACCATCGTCGGACGAGATTGTGGAGGCGCCCGTCAGAGGTCGGGCATGTGGAACGAGAAGTTCGGGCGGGTTGACGAGGGTGCGTTCGGTGTCGGCGGACGAGCTTGCGGATCCTGCTGAGCTCTTGGGGGTCGTGATTTCGGTGCTCTTCTTCTTGGTGATGTTGAGGGCCTTGACAGGACCGAGCTGGGCGATGCTGCGGACCGAGTTGGCCGGACTGATACCAGGCATGTGAATGCGGATGGGCTTGACGGCGTGCTTGGGATCGATCTGGGGCACCGGGGGTGTCTGGGCGGGGGTGTCTGCGGGACCGATGGAGCCGGCCGACTTTACGCTGACGACAGCCGCCTTGCCGCGCACAACCGTCTGAGCGGGAAGAGGCGACACAATGGCGTTCTGGCGGTAGACGGTCGAGGCGACGCTGCCGCGCTGGGCGAGGCTCGGTGCAAGGCTGGTGCGGCCAAGCGTGTTGGAAGACAGGACCGAGTCGCGGAAGTCGGGCACGAAAAAGTGCTGGTCGTTGTAGGGAGTGGTGGTGCCGCTCGAGGGGGACATGGCGGGAATCGGGGGGACGGGGGGCACGAGGACGTCGGGGGAGCCGGGGCCTGAGCGGTTGGTGACGCCGGGAATGTAGGCAATCTGGATGATGTTGGAGGCGCGCGTGAGGACCGACGAGGCCATCGAGGCCACCGTGTGCGTGGATGCGCGGGCGCTGCGCTGCGACTGGAAGTCGGTGTCCTTTTCCTGGGGGGCCATGTCGACGTCGTGCCACTCGGGCTGCTCCTCGACGGGGCGACGCTTGCCCTTGAGGCAGTACTTCCACACGATGAAGGTGACGATGGCGACAAAGGCGACGCCGCCAATGACTCCGCCGGCTATGGCGCCGACATTGGGCTTGCTGGCTGGGGCGGGGCCGAGGGTAGGGTCGATTTGGCAGTTGACTGATGCGCAATCATCGCATGTGCGCGAGTTCTGGACGCAGACCTGGTTGGCCGGGCACTTGATGCCTTCGCACGACAGCGGCGCCTGCTCGCACAGCTTGCAGCGCTTCTCTACGCGGAAGACGTTTTCGGCGTCTGGGGGCATGTTAGCATGCAGAAGCGTCGTGGGCGCGGAGGAGCTGGATGGGTACCTCGAAGCGCACGGATGGACATGGCGGGCGGCGGGCGTGGTGGTTAGGGGATCGGCGGGAGCCTGAGGAAGAAGCAACGTCGGCCAGCAGTGGCGAGTTGGGCACGCCGGGCGGGGTGCAGCGCTGGCGGTGGGGGTAGCGTAGCTTTCGTTGCCTGCTGGGTCGCTGGGACGGGCACAGGTAGATGGGCAAAGGGCGCGGGGGCGAAGGAGCGAGAGAACGAGGGTCAGAGGCCCGGCTGGCGGAAACGGGGGGGTCGGGGGGGGAGGTCGAGGTCGGGCGAGGGCGAAGAGGGCGAAGAGGGTGGAGGAGAGGACGTGTGGCGGCGGCGGTGGCGGCAGCGGGCAGCAGCAAGCAGCAACAGCTAGCGAGCGGGCGGGCTGCAGTGCAAAACAACAAAAAAGGCAGGCGATATTAACGAGCGACTGGGACGGGCAATAAAGACGCGCGGGCAGCAAAGAAAGGCGGCGACGGAGAGCAGGAGACAAAGCAGCCGGCGGCGGCGAGGTAAGATGAGGGTGGGGAGTGCGTGACAGGGAATGGGCAGGGAATGGGCAGGGGCAGCCGCGCGTGTTTCGTCTCGTCCCGCGTGGGCCAGAGGCTGTGAAGTGCCCGCGTCTTCGTATTGCGTGGTGTAGAGTAGTGCACGCCTGGGCGCCGTGATGGTGCTGCAGCCGGCGTGCCTCGTCGCGCTGGGGAGGGGGGGCGGTTAATATGTACAAGTATACGTGTGTACTGTCACTGCACTGGTAGCCATGTCGCATCCACGCATGCGGCCTTGTACATATGTACGTGTGCCATGTGTGCATGTAGGCAATATCTGCTGCTGTATGCATGCACCCTTTTCGTGCATCACCACTACCACTACCACTACCACCACCACCACCACCACCATCACCACCAGCTCTCCCCCCGTCGACCAACCAACTGCCGGCCGCGCCGTCAGCTACGCAGCTACGCCCGTTCCTGGCCAAGCGCCTGTCCGTGATGCTACGCGCCAATCTATTTTTTGCAGGCCCAGCCGTGCGAGCGCCCACCGAACGCCCGCCTCAACGCCTAATCCGCCCAAGCCTGTCTCGCTACATACATGGCCAGCGCCTCGTTCACGGCCCCGGCCACGATGCGCGTTGCCTGTCCCACCATCTCTTGCGGTCGCTGCGAACATGTGCCACACGCCCGGTCGGCTCCCGTCGTCTTCCATCGTCATCACACAGCGACGCGTTGCCTGCCCCAAAGCCCGCCCGTGCCTCTCTCGACGCTGACTGGCCGCGCAGCCCTGTCCAGATGCTCATGCCAATGCTGTGCATCTAGATTCTGACACGACACCCATTAGGCCAAATATCGCCATTGCCCTATGATACTGTACATATCGCGCCCACACTCGCTCTGCACTGCGCACGCCACCACGCACGCCTCAACACCATGGCCTCCCCGCGTGCTGGGATTTGGCCCCTCAACACCAACACCACGCACCGTCTCCGTCCTGCCTGCTCGCCTTGCTACAACCCGTCCATGCCGGCGAAACATGCTCCCGCCCAGCGAACCACAGCCGCCCATTTGCAGTCCTCTCGTCCCTGTGGGGTTCAACCCGTACCCGCCCTTTCATTTCTTCCCCTTGGCCACTAACACGCCACGCTTCCCTTCCAGCCTTGTGCCTGTGTCTTGCCATGGCCATGGGGGATTGGCCCCCTTGCATAGTGCGCTTCGGGCATTTGTTGCCGTTGCTGATCCCAGATGGTCGAGACCCCTCCGTGCACACACCCCCCAAAACCCGTCCTGGCAAGTCTGCCGTTGGCTGCCTTTTTGCAAAAACACATCCTTGACCTTGCTGCTCCTGCTATCGCCATATATAGCTCGGGGTACCTCTGGTAGAGCGCGCCCCCCCATCGCAACTATGTACCCTTTTTTTCTAGTCCTCTCCTCTGCCGATACCTTGCCCACGCCGTGCAATGCCCGTTCCCCGTGTTTTTTCTGCCCAGACACGATCGGTCCGGAGCATACCGCACACAGACGCCCAAGGTGATACACGTACAAGTGTTGCACGTGACCTGGTCTGCACTGCCCCAACAAACCCGACCCTTGTCCAAGCTTGCCCGTCAGCACCAAGCTGTACCCTTCCTACCTTTGACCCAACTCATCCATCATCCTTACCCATCGTGGCCAACAACTATCATGCTCATTTCTATCCTACCCCAATCACATACCCAACCTCGCATCCCGCATCCCCCGTTCCCCCACCTGACCCTGTTCTCCGACCCCCTTATTTCCTCACACGCTCTTTATCCATCCACACGCCTTCTTCCACACATCCTTCCCTACATATCTATCTAGTGATACACCCTCAATTCTGAAGTTCCTTTTTCCTACTTCCCCACCCATTTCTACCCGCCCTTCCTGCATCTCCCCTACTCCCCACCCAATCACACCCTCGCTCCTTGATCTCCCCGTGCTTAGAGGAATCCTATTCCTTACCTCCATGCCACATCTCTCTACTACACCCACCTTCATATATACCTCTCACCCCCATCCATGCATGCATGCACGCGTATATGCACAAGAAGCCCCCGAGATGACATAAGACAGCCATGCCGCAGCAAAAGAGAGAAAGAAAAAAAAAATAAGTTTCAATTCAAAAAACTTGGCGTCACAGATGCTGCTGCTGCTGCGCCTGTGCTTTTTTCTTTTGTCTGCGTCACAGCCACACTTGCTTTGTGTCCTTGTTTCGCTCTTTTTTGACTCATACCGTCATTGCTGCTGACATGTCGGTGTGGGATAAGCACCCAAAAACAAAAAAGCTCCAAGTACCGGTGATTTGACACTGTGCTTACGTGCGGCTGGCATGGATAATGCGGCCCTTGAGCTTAGTTTTTTCTTTCTTCTTTCTTTTCTCTTAGGACTAGACTAGAGTAGACTACATAAGTGATTTACTTGGTGGTATTACAGACATGGCTGTCTTGTGTGGAATACCCAGCTATTCATGTCTACTTGCGGGAGGACAATGTGTCATGTGGTGCAAAAAGGCTAACCTTCTGCACCATGCACAAGGTAGAGTAGATATATCCTGACATGTGATAATAATATTTCTTCTTTTATCATGCCTGTCTAGTAAACAAGCGTGTAGCAGACATGCCGTTTGGTATATGAAACAGTAATCATTATCGCTTAGGGAAATGCCGCTAAGTACTTACGTCAGCTCGTTGAAAACAAAATATCACGTGTAAAACAAATAAAAATGTGTGAGACAATCAAAGAGGGATACACACACACATATAAAAAAAACTGTAAACTACTCCAATAACCATGTAAGCCTACTTGCGCGCAGTCATTGCTACAAGGGAAACATCACATAGCACAGCACAACATAGCACAACACAGCATTCATGATTTCCAACACGTCTATTACAATCTAGAAAACTACATAACGTGGTTCACAAGTGAGTCGCTAACCCAAGCGAGTCGCTAACGCCCTACTTGTAAGAGGCTACGCCTAAAGTGTGTGATCGAGTATATCTATACGACTACCTGGACTTCAAGAAGCTTGAAGTCTTGTTACTGCCTTTTTGGCTATGGATGGCGTAAGTAGTCGTACGCTCGGCCCGTTGGGCCCGCCCATTACACTACTAGCCCATTAACTTCATCACTATGACGCGTAATGTCTTAACAACATAACTGTCTATTAATATATTCTAAATTTAATCTTTAACTTACTCTTTTTAACGTCTAGTTATAACGTGTTTAAAGTGTAAACTGTAAGGGGCTGCGCTCCGGGGAGCAATCGCGAGGTATACAAGAGGTTGTATTCGATAGAGAGCTATAGAGTCTACTTGCGTGGTGTTTATTTAC